TTATCAAATTATGTTTATAATCCTAACCTAACCAAACCTAATCTAATCTAACCTAACCTAACCTAACCCAACCCAACCCAACCTAACCTAACCGAACCAAACCTGACAAAATTTTCTTATTACAGCCAAACACCTTACTAAAATACATAATTTAACACAACCCCCTTCTTTTATCAATGGGTGCGTTTGGCCACAGAATCATACATTTCAAATAATTGCAAACGCCCACTCACGAATCCTCAAATGGTTTATTCACAGAGGATGAGAGAGTTAAGCGTAGGCTACTTCACTCCACAAACCTAAACTACCTTCACTAAATTATCCTGGAAGCGATTCAAGTTATTTTGGCTGGAAGTGCAACTTGTGGGTGGGTTAATTTTCTCTTCTATTTTTCTGTTATGACCATGAGATAAGAAACAACATTGACTTTAAAGGGTGGAAGTAGTTGAATTGTAAAGTTTGTTAAAGCTAATCATTGACTATTAAATAATCAAAGATAAAATCTGAAGCTTGTTTCTTTAAACATTTTTGTGCGTCATGGTAGTAGTACAGTACTTTGCAATACAATACAATACAATACCATAATACACCGTACAATACAGTCGAAGTATTTCCAGTGTAGTGCATTGCATTATTTTCTGTACTGTAACTAATTTCAAATTTAAATTTTGGAAGGTTTTTCTTCTTGTTTTGTTTATGGTTGTATCATGGGGGATGCAAATATATTATTTTATATTGTTTTCTTCAAACGATCTTTATGTTTCAAATTTCTTCTTAATTTTCTTTCGAATATTTTTTTCAACTATGGAATATTTGTACCAATTATTTGAGGCTAATGTAGGATGATGTTTTTCTTTTTTTCAAAATCCTTTGCTTGACATTGGAATACAATGTTTTTTAAAATAATGCCTTTCAGATGATGAAAACAAAATTTCTAATGAAACATGTAACAACCAAATTAAAGATATGAACAAATCAGGCATTCATCAAATAAAATGTTCAGATTGTAATAAATATACATTGGAAAAGAAGTCGTAGCTTCAAGAAAAGCACACGACAACACACACACAAGCATTAAAATTGATAGTTAAAATTAAAATTGGTTGATAATTAAAATGAGTTAAAAGAGTAATAGTTTTCAAATATATATAGGCCTATAATTAATCCACTGACTTTTCACGGCAAGCGCACTACAGTAGCCTACAGTGCGATACAATGAAACACTGTATTGTCAATATTAGAGTCAACAACAGAGTATTCATGTCAAGGATAAATTCTTGTGAATAATAATAGCAAGGTATCAGTTATAATTACTAATTAGTTACAATTAACATTTTTAACAACGATTCACCATTATGGAGTCAAAATAATAGAGACTCGCGTAACCTCTTCTATTCAAACCCTTAAAATGTATCTAACGTGGAAACAAAACAATATATAATTAAGATACGGTACAAAACGCGACAATACCATACCAATCAATACAGTACTAAATGATCAATTGAATCCAATTGCATACAATGCAATCCAACGTAATCAACTACAATACAACATAATAAATTAGGTACGGTACAAAACGCACTGATTCAATACAACACATGGAATACAATGTCATACAATTCAATACGATACACTGGTACAATTACGTACAATAGGATACAACACTATCTATGAGTTATATAATAGTAACGAGACATCAGGGCCTTCCACGTGCTCTGCTAGTTGGTTTACGATCATCTGACTAAACCTGAGTTATAGGTCGTTTATGACTCATTAATCGTGCAAATGCTCGTCTAAATCATCGCCGAAACTTGATCCGACTACGTCCTTGCTCCGATTATCAAAACGGCCAAATTAAAGTGATTTATCCTTAAAAGGGTTTTTACCTACGACCGTTTTGTAAACTAGCCTTTTCAGTTCACTTCTTAGAACAGTGTTGTTTACTTTCATAACTGCATAGTTTTACATAACAACACGGGTAACGGACCAATGAGGTTTAAGGATTGAGAGGGAAGAAGTAAAATTGTAATTATTTGAACTTCAACTAATCAGCTGTTTGGCCAATTTAATTGTTGAGTGGTGCAATTGGTATGTACAATGTTTCGTTGCAACACTGGCAGTGGCAGTGAGAGGTTATAAATTATAACATAACCTCTCTTAGAAGTTATGGGTAGTGAATTTTAGTAATTAAAACACTGTCGTACGTAAACACATTAAAATTGCCGTTAACACTATATTTACGCTATCGTTGCGTAAACTAATATATTTAGAAACGTTTTTCATCACGATTTGTGTAAAACAACGTTTTCTCCATGTTTTGGGTTCTTCGTTCTTGCAAGTCTCTTAATTAACACCGAAAATTTTGAATACATTATGCTATTTATGTTATATCTTGGATTTTGTTCGGTATTATGTTTTTTTAATATTTTACTTTTTTCATCAAAACGTTTACATAAGTTCAATATAACATGGACCTAACTATACATAAATAGTGAGGTTAGTAAGGCTGGTTATCGGTCCTGTATGTGCAGGTTTAATTTGTATTTTGAGAATGTTAATTGGGCCAAAAATGGAAATTCAACTTTTCATATGGAAATTTAACATGGGGCTAATTCTATATAAGCATGTTTATTGACAACATTTTTTCTGAGCTCCAGTGCATCGCAGGGAAAATCTACGCATACTGTTAGAAAGATAATATTTGCCTGTAGATGTGCAGAATCCCTCTATAAATTAAAATAGGCTAAAAAATAAGCACAAAAAATAAATTTAAAATTAAAAAGATTAACATGGGTTTATAGATTGCCATGTTGGTGACATCAAAATATAAACTGAAAATCAAAACAAATGGGAGAAATTCCAATCACAGTACTTTTTTGTCTTGAGTTGTTGTTTTCTAGCAATCATGGTACCATGTTTGTTAGGTTACCAGAGGCTAACAATACTAATTATTTTCCCAACCAATTACTTACATTTAAGTATTGCATAGTATTATTTTGTGTGCGGCCTACAACCCAGTCATTGTTTCAACCTCCCATTCTTTGACTGACTCGAAAAATAATAAACGAGTTTGACAGAACCATGACGCACAATGACAACAAGCAGAGCTGCCTGCAACTGACACTGTTACGTCACGCTTCTGTAACGCCCACGTGGTTCGTGACGTAAACCACGTGACGTTCTGAACGTTATTTTATCCGAAACTTGCCATATGCATGTTATTAATAAAAGTCCTGTTAATTGTTTTATGTTGTGTTAGGATATTTTTCGTTATTCACTGGACACGTTCCACGCACAGATCTGTAGTCTATGTGGACGGGCAAATGCAAGGTTAAAAGAGGAAAAAAATCTCGATGCTTAAGATGTGTATGTGGTAAATGAAAATTGGTTTCGTACTCAAAAGTACATACTCAGGTCTAAAACTTTGAGGCTGTATAGTCCTTCGATAACAACTTAAGGTTTGTTGACCTGAGGATATAGGTTACTCTTGAATACGAAAATCAGCTGAACGTAATATAACAATGATTGCATAAGGACGAAATAAATCAAAACCTATTGCACTATGAAGTATGTCTAATGAAAACCCACATTTTGTTTTAAAGCACTATCATGGTATTTTACGTGCAACTTGTTTTAAGTTTGCCCGGTTTCATTTTACACCAAAAACTCCCAAATCGAAGCGTTTCATACCCCTAAAACAAGTTTGAATATGTCAGGAATCCAACCCATCTCCTTGGGGAGCAGCTGGTCTAGTGGTTAGAGCGCGGGAACTCGGTCCCTGAGGTCCCGGGTTCAAATTCCACCAAAATCCCCAATCGATTTTTAACTAAGTTATAATGCCACAACTCCTAGGTAAAGTTGTGAAAAACTATCCCGGGCTCGTGCCTAGTGCCTAGAAGAAAAAGAACCCATCACCTTGCCGAAATAAAAGACGTTATAGTCACAACTCAGCTAACAAAAACGATCACAAATCGGTTAAGAAATTTAAAGGTAAAAGTAAAAGGAAACCTTCCGACCTAGTTAATAAAGTAGAAATTAAGAACTTTAAATCCTGAAATGTAATAAGCTTTACATTGTAGCTTGCATTACGCCCAACCAAACTTTCTCACATGTCCCGGAAAGTTACACCCGCGTCCTAATGTTTAAGTTGGCAATGTTGCTTAAGGCCATTTCTATCGCCCTTTACTAATACAGTGTTAACAATTTTTCATAGTTGGATATGTGCATTTTTCGTCCAAAAACTGTATATGAAGTTAGTTTCACAAGGGAGTCTTTCTATTACCCTCTCTGTAGAAAATACTGTATTGTTTTCGTCAAAGTTTTCGAGTTTGAGTTTTGGGTGAATATACGTTTCGGGTCCTCCTGAACCCAAAAATTTGTTTCTATGTCTGTTTGTGTGTGTGTCTGAATGTGAGTGCAGATGTGTACATAGCTAAAGACCACACCCCGAATTTTTATGAAATTTAGTATGTGGGTACTACCACCAAATGCTGATGGTACTACTGGTGGAGATACCATGGTATCTCCAGGCTAATCAAGAATTTTACAGAAATAGAAGACCGTTGCTAAAAACTAAATAAAAGTAATATTCAGTTAAGTTTATCATCTGTCTAAAAATATCAATTGTTTTAATTATATTACATTTATTCAATAGTATTTAGACGTACCTTATCCATCAGAACCTCGATAACGAGTCTATCATGGAGATGATCAAATAGGACACTCGTTATCAAGGTTGACATTTTATCGACGTTGCAATAACATGTGATTAAGAGTCGTGTGAAATCCATCCTACTTGTTACTGAGTGTCTTCTTATCGAGGCTTCGCTGTTCTGTAAACCTCAATAAATATGTTATTGGCCAAAAATATTTTCGCGAATAACGTGAAATAGCGGCAAACTCGCTGAGGTTGTACTTTATTTTAATCACTGTTTACTTAGCTACACTTGTTTTCACCAACTGTCGCACTCGTCAAAGTCAGTGTAGCCACGATTTTCATAAAGTGTGTGTGTTTTTGTGCGCTAGGAAGTGAACGTATGAACACAAAATGGACAGATCGTCTATGGCTATTATTATTTTCATTTGGTGCTACTTTCATAATCAAGGTAAATTGTCTTACGAAACTCATCAATTTGTTTATAAAATCTCGTGCGCACTGTCGAGAGTTATGATCTATTCATACCTAGTGATTATGTATTACTTTAGGGATTTTTTGTAACTAGCAAAAAATACCTGAGCAAAAGGAGTACCCGTCCTTCGTACGGGGTTGGCAAATAAGTATAAAATGCTTATTGCAGTTTATACCCGATCTTTGCGTTTGCGATGTGAGAAAACACGGTTTGAGAAAATTTGCTTCCTCAAATTTACGGTATACCATAGTATTACACATCTACCATAGCCATAATGTTCTACTACTTCACCTACACAATAAAGAAAGATAGATTATTAAAAATTCGCAAAATATCATAAATTATTCATGAAATTAAAAACATAAACATAACTGTAAACAATTCTACTTTGACAGTTCTCATTATGACAGTTTTTTGTTGCTGCTTAGTTCAAATTTGCTGTTTTCATAAATAAAGAAAAAAAAATAATAGTGTTGCACCCTGTTGGTAAATCTTATAAATTTTTAATGCTTTTGCATATCATAGAACCGACTCTTTTAGTTGAAACAGCTGGCTAGATTCTTTAATTCCCTTTAAATATGAATACTCATAAGGTTAACATGGGAAACTCCAGAGCCACTGGGGTGGAGCCCGATAGGACTTTTGAGATAAGAATGCGTCTATATGTTAATCGGGAATGTGAGCTATCATCATACCAAATTTCAGCCCAATCCGATCAGTATTTTTCGCGTTACTTGTCACAAACATACATCCATACATCCAAACTTTCTCATTTATAATATTAGTAGGATAAGATAGTTTACACTGCTTTTAATGAACCAGCTGTTAATATTAATATTGTATTCAAATGTCAAGCAAGTTTTTATAGTTTGAACAAAATGATGAATTCATTATGAGTTTTAATTTTTTTGTTTAAAAATCTATGCTTTATTGATCTTAGAAAATTGTTATTATGAAACAAGACGGACATATCAATTTCAAAGTTATAATTATTCCTTACGGCCATGGGGTTAGCTTCAATAATCATTTATTATTATTCTATTCAAGGAAGAACGCCTATAATAGGCTACATGTTTTCGATAATCGGGAAGAATGCTGTGTCATACAATAAAAACCATGCAAGTACAGGGGGGAACGTTGTGGATATATCCGTGTTGAAGTTTCGTCTAGACTAACTACGGAGTATGTTTTATTACTGAGAATCTTGTTAACGAGGCTTCGCTGTTCTGTAAACCTCAATAAATATGTTATTGACTAAAAATATCCTCGCAAATATCACGAAATAGCGGCAGATTCACTGAGGATATACTTTAATCACTGTTCGATTTAATCACTGTTTACTTAGTTGCACTTGTTTTCACCAACTGTCGCACTCGTCAAAGTCAGTGTAGACGCCATTTCATAAAGTGTGTTGTGCGTTAGGAGGTGGACGTATGAACACAAAATGAACAAATCGTATATGGCTATTATTATTCTCATCTGGTGCGTCTTTCATAATCGAGGTATTGTCTTACGAAACTCATCGATTTGTTTTTAAAATCTTGTGCATAATGTTGTGAGTTATGATCTACTCGTTACAAGTGATTAAGGGATTATTATGGAATCACACAGTGAAAACAGCTGGTTTTTAGTGCAATTTCAATTAACTATTTTTTCACCACATTATGATGTTTTTAGCGGTTTTACATACTGGTGGCTGAAAGTTACGTTTTGCTGGCCATGCCAGCTGTCACCGTTATTTGGGGACCAAGTAGGTTTTCACATCTCTAGGATGGAAAAATCAGCTGCCCGCTTTCTTACTTAAAACATGAATGCATGTTATGAATGAATGTTGTGCATGAATGCACAATCAGTATCCATAACATTGTAATAGAATTGTTTTATTGTCACCGGTGCCTAGCAACTTTTTATTTTTATTTTTGCTGATTCCTTAAATTATTTCTTCACATAACCTTAAAGTTGTAGTTGTGTTGACTATCAGTGTGCATTATTATAGTGGTAAATAGTGGTAATAGTGCACCACGAGTGTGGCGAAAAATAGCGTTCGTACCCCAAGGATTGAAGGTTGGCTTGCAGCTCTCGATCGATTTAAAAAAAAACTATCTTTATTTAAAAACTATCTCGAGCCGGCAAAACCTCATTTTCGGCCCTAGGTACGAAATATACTATTTCGCCCTGCCCTATTCTTTTAGATTGTTTCCCACACAAATGTTGCCTATATTGTTTACCCAAATAAACTAACGAAATTGCTTCCATCTTTTTTTTTCAAAATAAACAAACTGCTGTTAGTGATGTATTCAACAAATTATTTTGAAAATATTAAGGATAATTATACATCTGGTGTTATTTAGCCAGTGAAATGATACATTTGAGTTAAAATAGCTAAATTTGTATTAAAATTCAAATAATGTACGTTGATCTTAATACAGTATTAAGAGTATTAAAGTATACAACTTGACATTAAAAAAAAACAAATTTATTCGATTAACGATGTTAATTTATTTTATTTTCGTAGTCAAATTTAGCAGACGAAGTTTGCCAAGTAAAAGATTTACAGCGATTGACCTCAATAATCAAATTATTTAGTCTCTGAGCTTATACCTATATTTTTAATCTATGACAATTTTTTGCTCTAACAAACTTAAAAGAGCCTCACTGTGTGCTAGTATTAGGAATTAAAATTCTCTTTATGTTTTGTCTATGATGGAATTTGGGACTCAAATATGCTTTGGTGTACATTGGCTCCTACTCTTTTACTTTCTCCCTCTATAGTAGAATGGAGAAAGTATTGCTTTGGTCAAACATTAGAGTTTTAATTTTGGGTGGTGTTAGAAGTAGGCCTACTGTGTCTACCATCTACATAAGATCACGTGTTGCAATACAATTATGTTAATAATTATTAACTGAGCGGAGCTATGAGATCGCGCCTCATGCAAACTGTGTAATTGAATCATGCAATAACGGCTGAACACATTTTAGCCAAACTTACCAAGGTTATTGTGCTTGTAATATAAACTACGTGAAACCCGTCGAAATTGAGGATTACTTTCAAGCATACGCGAACTCATCTAACTGCGTTAAATAGAGTTATTACAAATTTATTACATGTCACAGACTTTTAACTCCAAACAAAATGGTACAACCCCATTGCTCGTTCAAAAATGATTGTAACTTTTGTGATTTTTAACATATCAAAGTTACTCCCACCGCTTGCCCGTGATAAGGATTATTGAAATGGGAGGAAGTATTTGCCAGTTTGCTGATAACGTTTATTTGGATGTTATAATTCGGATTTATTTATGTTTTCGTAGGCTTACTTAATTCTTTGTGGGAAAGGCTCTACGAGCTCGCGACCGCAGACGAACCTCCCACCGAAAGTGAAATAGCCAGCCTTCTTTCGGACACGAAAGGTAAGTACGTATATTCTACGCTATTTTACTGGGTGTTGTGGCCAGATTTTCAATCAAAATTTTCGTAGATGATGTTTGCCACCGACAGATTGTGCTGGTCCAAATTTACTTATTTCCGATGAATACACCAACTGTTTTTACCAAGTTACAAGTATAGAACTACTAATGATGAGTTTCAATAATGGAACGTCTTTGTGTGAGCTATAGCAACTATTATAGCCCACCAACTACGTCAGAAACAAAAATAAGGTAAGAAATATACTTTTAGACACTAGCGATTTCTGTGACTGACTCACACAACCAACTACGGTCTTTAAATAAAATGGCTACAGCTGCTTGTCCAAATAGATGGGATGTCTACATCAATAGTCAATATGTAGTCCAATAGTGAGCAAATTCAAACACACCCTATAATAAAACACAGCAAAATAAACTAATGCCTGTTTCTGTATACATTTATATTGTGCAAAAATGAAATCAGCTGATTTACACAGCGAAAAAACTAATGCTTGTTTCTGTATACATTTATATTGTCCAAAAAAGAAATCAGCTGATTTACACAGCGAAAAAACTAATGCCTGTTTCTGTACACATTTATATTGTCCAAAAAAGAAATCAGCTGATTTACACAGCGAAAAAACTAATGCTTGTTTCTGTATACATTTATATTGTTCAAAAATGAAATCAGCTGATTTAATGATTAAAATAAACAATAACAAAGCACTTGCGCGCGTAGTGGATAAATGGAGAACTAATCGAGAGCGAGGGAAAGTAAATTTAGAGCGGGGAAAAATCAGCTGATCGATTTTCCCTCGTTCTAAATTAGAACTTGGGAAACAACAACTTTCTTTGATTCAGCTGTTATCGAAAATAGTTACTTTCAGTATGGAGTGATGAAAAGGAATTGTCTCTTGTTTTGGCCGTATCCATTAAGATGTTGATTTGTTTATTCACAGACAAAAATCCCGAACTAATGGCTGATATGCAAAGGCTTTTGGAAAAACTTGGCCACGGTTCCAATGGAAATGGAGAAGACCAAAGTATTACAAATGGTCTAACCGATCAGCTTAGTGCTAGCACTGGGGATGATCAACATACAGACGCCCAAATAGCAGGTACGTTTGTCTTAAGAAAATGAATTCTTTGACGAAACAAGATGTGACTTCGTACGGATAATTTAGCCTCCAGAAACTTCGGTTGAACCATTAAAGTAATCCGATATTAAACTTTTACTCTAAACTCAGCAAAACTTTTGATATTTCTATAGCGATTGCTGTTTCGTTGTTTTCAAATTTTAAATAGGCTATTTCCTTTTGCTTATCTCCAAAAAAGAGATACTGAATGAGGAAATGTTACTTTTGTGAAGTTTATACAACAATCATCATCATTCTGTTTCCTAGAAAAGAATACTGAAGAGAAACTGATTGCAAGACTCAACCGCAATTATTAAATTATGTTAGTTTGAAATTATTTTATTTTAGTTACTTGCTAATTATTGAACATCTAAAAGACTCTCTGTTTATTCGCAGCCCTTCATGGTGTACTAAATGAATTGAAGAAAAGAAAGGAAAAGGCAGAAAACTCTCTTAGCGAAGGAGAAAATCAAGGATCTAATGGAAATAAAGAAAATAGTGAAATTTCACATAATACCGGAACCGGAGGGATTGGGAAACCGGTAGATCCAGGTACAGTAGTGTAAAAACAGGTACACGTGCCTTACCAACAGATAACAACCTTGTCAACAGAGAATTGTGGACATGCAGATTTTTTAACCACAAAAAGTTAAAAAAATTTCACTTTTTATTTTAAACTAATATTTTTTAAAGCAACAGTTTATTTTAATTCTATATATTCCATTATAATTTGGTTTACAAATTTTTTTAATAGCAGCCCAGCAGAAGCACAGGCAGCACTTGCCAACGTCTGTTGATTTTCTTAAAATAAATCAAATAGGGTAATACAAAAAATATTCTTATTTTTAAATTTAATTTTATATTTTGTATTAACAATGTGTATTTTATTCATTTTGTAGATTATGAGAAAAATAAACATATTATTTCATTCATTTTATTCATGCATATCTCTTCGAGAAGATAATAAATATAAACCCTCCTTGGAAATCAGTAAAAATTTGCATGTAAACAACTTATTAGTATTACTGCCCTTACTATCATCAAGACGAACATTCATTGGTATTTTGGTAAAGTTTCCACAGCTAGTTACACAACTGAATCTTCTATTTTTGTTGGCATTGTTCCATTGTGATGTTGATTTGTTTAATCATAGACAAATATCCCAAAATAATGTCTAAAATTCAAAGGCATTTATTTAGGATTTGGAGAAAGCCCTTCAGAAAATGAGGGAAGCCAAGGACCCAGTGGGAATGGAGAAGACAAAAGTATTACAAATAGTCGAACAGATCAGCCTAGTGCTAGAACTGGGGATTTTAAACATAAAGAAGCCGAAATATCAGGTACGTTCGCCTAGTAAAAAACGGATTCCTTAAGAAAACGAGATGTGAAGTCATTTTAGCCTCCATAAACTTCAGTTGAACTGTCGAAGGGATCAGCAACTCATTTTTTACTGTAATCTCAGCAATACTTTTGACTTTTCAATATCGATTGCTATTTATTTGTTTACAAATTTTAAATTTCACTTTTTTAAAACATACAAAAAAAGATAATGAATGAAAAAAAATTATTTTGTCTTAAAACATGTTGTACAACAATCATTATCTTCCTATTTTCTAGATAAGAATACTTATAATAAAAATTACTTGCAAGTCTCAATCTCAACTTTAAGTTATGTTGGTTTGAAATTATTTTGTCTACGATAAACGATTCACTGTTTATTTCAGCCCTTAATGGTGTACCCCATGAACCGGATGATCAAAATAAAAAGGTGGAAAAGTCGCTTAGCAAAGGAGAAAATCAAGGACCTAATAGAAATAAAGGAAATAGTGAAATTTCACAGAATACCGGAACCGGAGGAATTGGGAAACCGGTACTTCCAGGTACAGTAGTGTAAAACAGGTACACGCGCCTTAGGAATAGACAATAGATTTTTAGACACAGAGAATTAATTGTTGACATCCAGATTTTTTTAACCGCAAAGAGGTAAATGATTTTTACATTTTATTCTTAACTCTAAAAATGTTTGGATAGCGATTTTTAAAACTGTTTCCACACCTCTTACCCTTTTAATTCAGTTACTCATTAGTTTTTAGATGTACTTGTCTCTATTTTGGATTACAAATCCGGCAATCTTCTACGAAAGTGATTGTGTATTAGCCAGGTCTATTAAAATACAGTACTTTCCAATATGTCTAGACTTGTTTAGGTATATGGCACTACAGTCCCTACAAAAAGTGAGGTTATGTTTGATACATTTGGTATTGGACTACATACATTAAGTCATATTACAATACAGTGAGGTCAATACGTATGCATTTCGATCTTAGCGAAAAGTTGAGGTTATGTCACCACTACCCTGACCTTGTACACTACTAACAGCTGATTTTGGCGGGAACGTGCTCTAATTAGCTTAGCCATTAGCCATAAGAAGTATTATTCTTTTGAAACAATCGGTTACTAGGATTAGAACCCAGGACCTAGGCTTCAAAGACCACTAGTCCAGTTAACTCCCAATATTACTCCATAATAAATCCCGAAATATTACGATAACCGGATGTTCAACCACCGGTCACTGGTGGGATTTGAGCCCGCAACCTCAGGTTCCAAAGCCTTACGCTTTACCACTAAATCAGTTAACTCCAGGTAATATACCATACTAAAAATCAAAATATTACCCTGACCAGATGTATAACCACACGGTTACACTTGGTTCAGGCCAAGATCACGCCAACTGTTACAAATAGCTAATAAACTCACAATTTTAAGAGCATTGATTATAGCAAGTTTTGAATACAGGACACAGATTTATTTATTTATAAACTAATTTTCACCGTACTTTCATAGATATTTTCTTACTTGCATTAAATCCACGGCAGGAAGTTGAGGTTACCAATACGAACATTTATAGATATTTTGGCAAAATTCTACAGCTATTTACACAAAGGAATTTCCTGTTTTTGTTGCCCGTATCCATTGTTTTGTTGATTTGTTTATTCGCAGACAAAGATCCCGAATTAAAGCCTGGAATCCAAAGGCTTTTGGAAAGACTTGGCCATGGACCCAATGGGAATGGAGAAGGCCAAAGTATTACAAATGGTCCAACAGATCAGCTCGGTGCTGGCACTGGGGATGCTAAATATACAGACGCCCAGAAAGCAGGTTCGTTTGCCTTATTAGAAAATATATTCTTTGACAAAACAAAATGTGACGTCATGCAGATATTTTAGCCTCAAAAAATTTTGGTCCATCGCAGAGTAATCTTATATTCAACACTTACTCTTAACTCAGCAAAACTTTTGATATTTCTATAGCGATTGCTGTTTTTATACTTTTTGCCAATTTCAAAAATAAAGATACTGAATAAGAAAATGTTACTTTTGTCTTAAAATGAAGTTTTTACAACAATCATTATCATTCTGTTTCCTAGACAAGAATACTGAACAGAAACTGATTGCAGGACTCAATCTCAATTATTAAATTATGTTATTTAGAAATTTGTAATTTTAGTTACTTGCTAATTATTGGAAAACTAAAAGATTCACTGTTTATTCGTAGCCTTTCATGATGTACTCAGTGCATTTGGAAAAGAAAAGAAAAAGGGAGAAAACTCTCTTAGCAAAGGAGAAAATCAAGGACCTGATGGAAATAAAGGAAATGGTGAAATTTCACACAATACCGCAACCGGAGAGATTGGGAAACCGGTACTTCCAGGTACAGTAGTGTAAAAACAGGTACACGAGCCTTAGGAATAGACAATGGATTCTTGGACACAAAGAATTTTTAACATGCAGATTTTTTTAACCACAAAAGTTATATGATTTTAATTTTTTATTTTAAACTAAAATAAATGCTTGGATTGAATTTTTCATGACTGTTTCCACACCAATTTTTAAACGTTAAATACAAACAAGCAACTAAATGAGAAAAATTTGTATTAATTTTTAATAAGATAATATTTTCTAAAACAATAAGTGTCTTTATTTTTTCCGGACAATATTTTTGGACTGTGATAACTGCTCACAATTGTCAATATTGTTTTCATTCGTGGCATTAGATTGGACACTAACTTCAAGGAGATTAGGGAAAAAGGTAAGGTGGGAAGAGAATGGATTGTTAGATATTAATTAAGTTGAAGCTGACATAGTGAGGCTGACTGTATCTATCCAACAGGCATATTTAACTGTATCTTAAGATTCCAATTCATCCTGTTCATATGTTGGACAGCAGTTGTTTGTGCAGTGATATTGAGCCCCGCACTGAGCACCCGAAATGGGCTTGGCAATCCTTTGGTGATTTTGAGCATCAAGGCTTGCAGATAGGAAAGAACAACACAACACACAACTAAAGTACTTGATATTGAACGTAAAATAAATCTTTACCTAGTTTTAGAACTCAGTGAAGCGTACTATATAAATGCATTTCGCTGCTTTCTCCGTAAAGACAACAACAGTAATATGAGAAAAATTGAAGTTGGCCCGCGTTTGGCTCGGAATTACCACATTTAGAAATAGTTTGTTTAAACTGTATGGGAGGTCAGTCTAAAATGACAAACCATTTTTATTTTTAAACATAAATAATTTTTTGCATGTCCCTGAAATACCATGGTTATGCAAACAATGGTATAGAATTAATTAGAAGATAAAAAAACGTGTATTGTTTCACGTCATTTTAATAACTAGAGGTAGTTCAACAAAAAAAGATGGTTGGTGGTCGTAGCTTTAAAAAATATCAGACGCATTAAATTCTAAAGACATCCAATAACAAGCAAGTCGAAAATTTGGATTAAGTCCAAAATATACAAAACATGTCTCCTATCTTCTTCGATCCCAAAAAGTTGGTATTTTTGATTTTTTTACAAAAAGAAATTTTTCGTTTGTATAGGCCGTATCTATTGTACTGTTGATTTGTTGTTGTTTGTTTTTCACAGACGAAAATCCCGAACAAATGTCTGAAATCCTGCGAATATTGGAAGGATTTCACAGCGAACCCAATGGGAATGGAAAAGACAAAAGTATTACAGATGGGCAAACAGATAGTGCTAACACTGGGGATAATAAATATACAGAAGCCCAAATAGCAGGTACGATTACCTTATTAGGAAATGGTTTCTTTGACGAAACAAGATGTGACGTCGTGCAGATATTTTAACCTCCAGAAACTTCGGGTGAACCATCAAAGTAATCAACTATTCAATTTTTACTCTAAACTCAACAAAACTTTTGATATTTCTATAGCGATTGCTGTTCTTTGATTCCAAATATTGAATTTTACTTCTTGCTAATTAAAAAAGATACTGAATGATATAATTCTACTTTTGACTTAAAAATAGGTTTATACAACAATAACTATTATTCTCTTTCCTAGACAAGAATACTACTAAAGAGAAACTGCGTGCAAGTGTCAATCTCAGTTTTGAAGTTATGTTAATTTAAAATTATTTTCCCTACTATTAAAAACTAAGATTCACTGTTTATGCACAGCCCTTCATGGTCTAGTAAATGCATTTGAGAACCAAAAGGAAAAGGCAGAAAACCTTCATGGCAAAGGAGAACATCAAGGACCTAATGGAAATAAAGAAGATAGTGATATTTCACAGAATACCGGAGGGAATCCGGTACTTCCAGGTACAGTAATGTAAAAACAGGTACTGTACACGAGCCTTAGGAATATACAATAGATCCTTAGACACATAGTGAATTAGATTGGCAAACCAGTACTTACAGGTACGGTAGTGTAAAAATATATCAACCAGCTTTGGGAATAGCCATTAGATTCTATAGACATCAGTCAAAAAGCAAGTTAAAAATTTGGACTAGGTCTTAAAATCCCAAACTTGCCTTGTATCATCTTCGCTCTTAAAAGTCAGTTTTTTTTTTTTATTTATGCTGTAAGGTTTTTCCATAGACTAAGCAATAGGGTATGTTTTATCATTGGTTTTTCACAATATCAAATTCTTTGATCCACTTCCCTTCGAGATTAAATAAATATAAACTCTCCATGGAAATCAGTAAAAACTTGCCATTCAAAATTTACTATTACTACTACTTCCGATCATTTATAAAAAGGAATTTTCTGTTTTTGTTGCCCGTATCTATTGTTTTGTTGGTCTGTTCATTCGCAGACAAAACTCCCGAACTAAAGCCTGGAATCCAAAGAGTTTTGGAAAGACTTGGCCACAAACCCAATGGGAATGGAGAAGGCCGAAGTATTACAAATGGTCCAACCGATCAGCTCGGTGCTGGCACTGGGGATGCTAAATATACAGACGCCCAAAAAGCAGGTACGTTTGCCTTATTAGAAAATATATTCTTTGACAAAACAAAATGTGACGTCATGCAGATATTTCAGCCTCCAGTAACTTTAGTCCATCAGAGTAGTCTTATATTCAATTTACTCTTAACACTTTTGATAATTCTATAGCGATTGTTGTTTCTTTGTTTTCCAATTTTAAATATTAATTTTTGCCAATTTTCAAAACGAAGATAGCCTACTGAATCAGAAATGTTTACCTTTGTCTCAAAAAGAAGTTTATACAACAATCAATTGTATTCCCTTTTTTCTAGACAAGAATACTACTAAAGAGAGAATTGCTTGCAAGAGCCAATCTCAATTTTGAGGTTGTGTTAGTTTGTAATTTATTTTATTTTAATTACTTGTCAATTATGTAAAATCTAAAAGATTCACTGTTTTTACACAGCCTTTCATGATGTACTCAGTGCATTTGGAAAAGATAAGAAAAAAGGAGAAAACTCTCTTAGCAAAGAAGAAAATGAAGGACATAATGGGAATAAAGAAAATGGTGAAATTTCACAGAATACCGGACCCGGGGGGATTGGGAAACTGGTAGATCCAGGTACAGTAGAGCAAAAACAGGTACACGAGCATTAGGAATAGACAATGGATTCTTGACGCATAGAGAATTGTTGACATGCAGATTTTTTGAACCAAAACATGTTATATGATTTTTCGCTTTTTATTCCAAACTAAAAAAAAATGCATGGATAGTGATTTTTAAGACTATTTTACACCCTTTACCAATTTATATACGTTAAATTTACACAAACAACTAAATGATAAAACTTGTATTATGTTTTTAAAACTAAAAGATATTATTTTCTACAACAATAATTCATTTTTTTCTGGACGATATTTTGGCATGTGATAACCGATTGCAATTATCAATCTCACATAGGGAGGTTATGTTAATTCTATATACACTTCCCAAATACATGTCAAAGAGTTCACTCTTCATTTCATTCGCAGCAATCGGTAGGGCACCAATTTAAGAAGCAGGAACTTCTTCAACACATACTTTTGCCTTTTCTTTTTATTTTGTACTTATCACACCCTGGGGATTATACCTTTTTTTTTACTCTGTAATGAACCGAGTTAACCATCAAACATCAAGTCACACAATTCTTCACCAGAACCGAAATAGTAAGTCACAGTTTCTCAAGCAACATCCCTGTGCACTCAAAAGAATTGTTAGTGTATGTTTACAGATACATTGTAGTTCCACGTATCCAGCGTACTCGCCATCTGGAGAAGGTATAATTTGGTACTACTGAGTGTCAAACACTGATCTCGAGTAAGATGCATCACCCGTGATAAAACTTTTGCATGTTTCCCACTCAATAGCAATTTTCTATAGGCTACAAGTAAGCGGATTTCCCTATGATTGTTCTGGTGGTCGTAGGAAATAAATTATATTGATCGGAGTAGGAAGTATAAGCACTACCACCTTTAATTTGAGACATCTATCTTGTAGATCGGTCCAGTAGTGACTGAGAAAACAGACGTATAACGTCTATTAAATATATAGATTGTCTTACAACATTTGACAACTCAGAACCAGGGTAAAATTACACACCATGTAATTTTAAAACAAAAGCTTAGCATTTAATTTGATCCTGAAACACGCAATCATAAAAGTGAAGGCTTAATTTATTTTAATTATTGTTTCACTCGCTCTATTTCACATGAACTTATTCTTTAGAATACAAAGAATCCTAATACAACTATTGTTATACAATTTATTCATATCCATTCTAAATAAAATAAATAAAAACCTTCCTCGGAAATCAGTGAAAACTCGCCTATAAACAATTTACTATTACTACTACCCGTCCTATCATCAATACGAACATTCATTGATATTTTGGTAAAGTTTCCACAGCTGTTTAGACAAAGAAATTTTCTGTTTTTGTTAGACGTATCCATTGTGACGTTGATTTATTTTCACAGACGAAAATCCCGAACTAATGTCTGAAATCCAAAAGATTTTAGGAGAATTTGCCCACAAACCCACTGGGACTGGAGAAGACAAAAGTGTAACAAATGGACAAACAGATCCGCTTGGAGCTAGCACTGTGGATAATAAATATACAGAAGCCCAAATAGCAGGTACGTTTACCTCATCAGAAATTGGATTCTTTGACGAAACAAGATGTGATGTCGTGCAGATCTTTTAACTCCCAGAAACTTCGGTTGAACCATCAAAGTAATCCACTATTCAATTTTTACTCTAAACTCAACAAAACTTTTGATATTTTTATAGCGATTGCTGTTCTTTGATTCCAAATATTAAATTTTACTTCTTGCTAATTAAAAAAGATACTGAATGATATAATTCTACTTTTGACTTTAAAATAGGTTTATACAACAATAACTATCATTCTCTTTCCTAGACAAGAATACTACTAAAGAGAAACTGCTTGCAAGTGTCAATCTCAGTTTTGAAGTTATGTTAGTTTGAAATTATTTTCCCTACTATTGAAAAACTAAGATTCACTGTTTATGCACAGCCCTTCATGGTCTAGTCAGTGCATTTGAGAACCAAAAGGAAAAGACAGAAAACCTTCATGGCAAAGGAGAACATCAAGGACCTAAAGGAAATAAAGAAGATAGTGATATTTCACAGAATACCGGAACCGGAGGGAATCCGGTACTTCCAGGTACAGTAGTGTAAAAACAGGTACACGAGCCTTAGGAATATACAATAGATCCTTAGACACATAGTGAATTAGATTGGCAAACCAGTACTTACAGGTTAAAAATATATCAACCAGCTTTGGGAATACCCATTAGATTCTATAGACATCAGTCAAAAAGCAAGTTAAAAATTTGGACTAGGTCTTGAAATCCCAAACTTGCCTCGTATCATCTTCGCTCTTAAAAGTTGGTAATTTTTATTTATGCTGTAAGGTTTTCTTTAGACAAAGCAAGGAAGTATGTTTTATCTATCGTTTTTCACAATAACACACACAACCCAACACAACAATATTTTTTCACTCTTTGGTCCACATCCCTTCGAGATGAAATAAATATAAACTCTCCATGGAAATCAGTAAAAACTTGCCTTTAAACAATTTACTATTACTACTACTAACACCCTTACTATCATCAATCCGATCATTTATAAATAGGAATTTTCTGTTTTTGTTGCCCGTATCTATTGTTTTGTTGGTCTGTTTATTCGCAGACAAAACTCCCGAACTAAAGCCTGGAATCCAAAGAGTTTTGGAAAGACTTGGCCACAAACCCAATGGGAATGGAGAAGGCCGAAGTATTACAAATGGTCCAACCGATCAGCTCGGTGCTGGCACTGGGGATGCTAAATATACAGACGCCCAAAAAGCAGGTACGTTTGCCTTATTAGAAAATATATTCTTTGACAAAACAAAATAAGACATCATGCAGATATTTCAGCCACCAGTAACTTTAGTCCATCAGAGTAGTCTTATATTCAATTGTATCTTAACTGAGCAACACTTTTGATAATTCTATAATGCGATTGTTGTTTCTTTGTTTTCAAATTTTAAATATTAATTTTTGCAATTTCCAAAACAAAGATACTGAATGAGAAATGTTTATCTTTGTCTAAAAAAAGTGTATAAAACAATAATTTTTATTCTCTTTTCCAGACAAGAACACTACTAAAGAGAGAATTGCTTGCAAGAGTCAATCTCAATTTTGTAATTTTGTTTATTTTAGTTACTTGTCAATTATGTAAAATCTAAAAGATTCACTGTTTGTACACAGCCTTTCATGATGTACTCAGTGCATTTGGAAAAGATAAGAAAAAAGGAGAAAACTCTCTTAGCAAAGAAGAAAATGGTGAAATTTCACAGAATACCGGACCCGGGGGGGTTGGGAAATTGGTAGATCCAGGTACAGTAGTGTAAAAACAAGTACACGAGCATTAGGAATAGACAATGGATTCTTGACGCATAGAGAATTGTTGACATGCAGATTTTTTGAACCAAAAAATGTCATATGATTTGTCTCTTTTTATTCCAAACTAAAAAAATGCTTGGATGTTGATTTTTAAGACTATTTTACACCCTTTACCAATTTATATACGTTCAATTTGCACAAGCAACTAAATGATAAAACTTGGATTGTGTTTTCAAAACTAAAAGATACTATTTTCTACAATAATAATAAATTTTTTTTCTGGACGATATTTTTGGCATAAGTAATTTGGCAAAATAAACTATTGATAACTGATTGCAATTCTCAATCTCACATAGGGAGGTTATGTTAATTCTGTACACAATTCCCAAATACATGTCAAAGTGTTCACTCTTCATTTCATTCGCAGCAATCAGTAGGGCACCAATTCAAGAAGCAGGAACTTGTTAACACATACTTTTGCCTTTTCTTTTTATTTTTGTACTTTTCACACCCTGGGGATTATACATTTTTTGCTCTGTAATGAACCGAGTACATTAATTAAACATCAAGTCACACAATTCTTCACCAGAACCGAAATAGTAAGTCACAGTTTCTCAAGCAACATCCCTCTGTACTTGAAAAAATGGTTAGTGTATAGGCTACGTATAGTTCACTGATACATTGTAGTTCCACGTATCCAGCGTACTCGCCATCTCGAGAAGGTATAATTTGGTACTGATGAACGTCAAACACTAAGCTCGAGTAAGATGCATCACCTATGATAAAATGTTTGCATGTTTCCCACTCATTAGCAATTTTCTGTAGGCTACAAGCAAGCGGATTTCCTTATGATTGTTCTGGTGGCCGTAGAAAATAAATTATATTGATTGGAGTAGGAAGTATAAGCACTACCCCCTTTAATTTGAGACATCAATCTTGGAGATCGGTCCAGTAGTGACTGAGAAAATAGACGTATAACTGTCTATTAAATATATAGATTGTCTTACAACATTTGACAACTCAGAACCAGGGTAAAATTACACACCATGTAATTTTAAAACAAAAGCTTAGCATTTAATTTGATCCTGAAACACGCAATCATAAAACTGAAGGCTTAATTTATTTTAATTAGGGTTTCACTCGCTCTATTTCTCATGAACTTATTCTTAAGATTACAATGAATCCGAATACAACTTCTGTTATATAATTTACTAGCTGTACCCGCGGGCTTTGCCCCGTTTAACTTCATACGTGAGCTCGTTCGCATGGCTCAATCACGTCCTGGTTGAAGTTCGTTCGCTACGCTCACTCACCTTTAGGTTGGAGCTCGCTCGCTGCGCTCACACGTCCTGGTTGAAGTTCGTTCGCTATACGCTCACTCATCTTTAGGTTGGAGCTCGTTCGCTACGCTCACTCACCTTTAGGTTGGAGCTCGTTCGCTGCGCTCACTTGCCTTCAGGTAGGCTCGTTTGCTACGCTAACTCGCCTCCAGGTTGAAGTTCGTTCGCTACGCTCACTCACCTTTTGGTTGCAAATTAGCTGTTGTCATGAATTAAAAAAATAATAGTGCTGCACCCTGCTGGTAATCCTTGTAACTAAAATGCTATTGAACATCATAAAATAGAACCAACTTGTTTAATTGAAACAGCTGTTAAGATTCATTTATTCCTTTTAAATATGAAAAATCATACGGTTAACATGGGAAACTCCAGAGCCACTGGGGCGGAGCCCAAGAGTCCGATCAGGATAAAAACAACTTAGTTTTCCTATTTAATGCCTAAAGAATCAGTGTACCAAATTTCAGCCTCCTAGTTAAATGGGAAGTGGGAGAATTAGTGATGAGTGAGTGAGTGAGTGAGTCAGTGAGGGCTTTGCCTTTTATAGATTCATATCCATTCTGTTGAGATAAAAAATTATTTACTCAGTCAACAGCTGTAATTCTGATTATTATAATGTTAGTTTGTTTAAGTTGTTATGTAAACAAACTATTTAGTCTATTAAATGGTTCTTTAACAGTTCTTACTTTTCTTTTATCCCACTAGCAAAATCAGTTTATTACAACACATTCGAAATAAAATAAATAAAAACCTTCCTTGGAAATAAGTGAAAACTTGCTTATAAACAATTTACTATTACTACTACCCGTGCTATCATCAATACGAACATTCATAGATATTTTGGTAATGTTTCCACAGCTATTTAGACAAAGGAATTTTCTGTGTTTTTGTTAGACGTTGTGACGTTGATTTGTTTTCACAGACGAAAATCCCGAACTAATGTCTGAAATCCAAAAGATTTTAGAAGAATTTGACCACAAACCCACTGGGAATGGAGAAGACCAAAGCACTACAAATGGTCCAACCGATCAGCCCGGTGCTAGCACAGGGGATGTTAAATATACAGAAGACCAAATAGCAGGTACGTTTACCTCATCAGAAAATGAATTCTTAGACGAAACAAGATGTGGTGGCGTGCAGATATTTTAGCCTCCAGAAACTTCGGTTGAACCATCAACGAAATCTGATATTCAACTTTAAACTCTTAACTCAACAAAACTTGTCAAATTTCTATAGCTATAGCTGTGTAATTTTTTTCTTTTTGCCAATTTCCAAAAAAGATACTGCATGAGGTAATGCTACTTATGACTTAAAAATATGTTTATCCAACATTCATTACCATTCTCTTTCTAGACAAGAATACTACTAGAGAGAAACTGCTTGCAAGTGACACTCCAAATAAAAAAAAATAAATAAAAAATAAATTGAAGTAATGTTTGTTTGAAATTATTTTATTTTAGTTGCTTGCTAATTATTTAAAAACTAAAAGATTCACTATTTATTCGCAGCCCTTCATGGTCTAGTCAGTGCATTTGAAAACCAAAAGGAAGAGGCAGAAAACCTTCATGGCAAAGGAGAAAATCAAGGACCTAAGGGAAATAAAGAAAATAGTGATGTATCACAGAGTACCGATGCCAGAGAGAATGGGAAACCGGTACTTCCAGGTACGGTGGTGTAAAAAACAGGCACATGAGCCTTAGGAACAAACCAATGGATTTATAGACATTTAGAAAATTGTTGACATTCATAGATATTTTGGTAAAGTTTCCACAGCTAGTTACACAACTGAATTTTCTATTCTTGTTGGCATTGTTCCATTTTGACGTTGATTTGTTTAATCATAGACAAATATCCTAAACTAATGTCTAAAATCCAAAAACATTTTGTAGGATTTGGAGGAAGCCCTTCAGGAAAGGAGGGAAGCCAGGGACCCATTGGGAATGGAGAGGACAAAAGTATTACAAATAGTCAAACAGATCAGCCTAGTTCTATAACTGGGGATTTTGAACACAAAGAAGCCAAAACATCAGGTACGTTCGCCTTGTATAAAATTCCTGAACAAAACGAGATGTGATGGCATTTTAGCCTCCAGGAACTTCAGTTGAACTGTCGAAGGGATCAGCAACTCAATTTTTATTGTAATATCAGCAATACTTTTGTCTGTCCGGTGGCGATTGCTATTTCTTTGTTTTCAAATTTTAGATTGTACTTTTTTACTTACAAAAAAAGATACTGAATGAAAAAAAAATAATTTTGTCTTCAAAGATGTTATACAACAATCATTGTTATGCTGGTTTCTAGACAAGACTACTTATAATAAAAATTACTTGCATTTGTCAATCTCAATTTTAAAGCTATGTTAGTTTAAAATAATTTTATTTAAGTTAATTGCCAATTTAAAATCTTTAATATTTAATGTTTATTCGCAGCCCTTCATGGTGTACCCCATGAACCGTATAGTCAAAATAAAATGGTAGGAAGCTCTCTTAGCAAAGGAGAAGATCAAGGACCTAATGGAAAGAAAGAAAATAGTAAAATTTCACAGAATACCGGAACCGGAGGAATTGGGAAACCGATAGATCCAGGTACAGTAGTGTAAAAACATGTAAACAAGCCTTAGGAATAGACAATGGATTCTTACACACATAGGGAATTGTTGACATGCAAATTTTTTAACCACAAACGTTATATGATTTTGAACTTTTATTCTAAGCTCAAAAGATGCTTGGATAGTGATTTTTAAGACTGTTTCCACACCTTTTACTAATTTCTATTTATTAAATTCAAACAATTAGCTAGATGAGAAAAATTTCAATTTGTTTTAAAGAGATTTTCTATTTTATACAACAATAATAATTATTTTTCTTCCCGCACGATATTTTTGGTCTGTAATATTCGATAACAAATTTCAATCTCAAATAGGATGATCATGTTCATTTGAAATAATTTTACTGTAAACATTTCCCAAATACAAGATTAAAACGTTTGCTTTTCATTCTCAGCAATTGGTGGGACACCAATTCAAGGAACACGAACTAGTGGAGTTCAACCAATTGACGGAAATACACAAACATCTCTAATTACTGAAACAGGTAAGGTGAAAAGAGAATGAATTGTTAGACATCAATTCTGTTGGAAGATGACATAGCAAGCCTAATGACTGCATCCATGCAACAGTATACAGATCTTTCGATTCCAATTTACTATTTTAATTGACTATTACTACTGCCCTTACTATCATCATCACGAACATTTATAGATATTTTGGTAAAGTTTTCACAGCTTTTTTGTCTCTGGATATTTTTGTCTTTGGCCGTATCCATTATGATGTTGATTTGTTTATTCACAGACGAAAATCCCGAACTTATGTCTGATATCCTAAGACTATTGGGAGAATTTGACCACGATCCCAAAGGGAATGGAGACAAAAGGATTGCAAATGGACAAACAGATCACCTCGGTGCTAGCACTCCGGATGTTGAAAATATAGAAGCCAAAATAGCAGGTACGTTTGCCTCATTAGAAAAGGATTCTTTGGCAAAACAAGATGTGACGTCAAGCAGATATTTTAGCCTCCAGAAACTTCTGTTGAACCATCAACCTAATCTGATATTCAATGTTTACTCTAAACTAAACTAAAAACTTTTGATATTGCTATAGTAATTTGTTGTTTCTTTGTTTTTAAACTTTAAATGTTACCTTCTGCCTGAATAAGAAAAAAAATATACTGAATAAGAAAGTTCTAATTTTGTCTTTAAAAGATGTTATACAACAATCTTTACCACTTTGTTCCCTAGACAAAAATACTAAAGAGTTTGCATTATTTTGAACTTAGATTAGATTTAAATTATATTGAAAATCTATAAGATTCACTGTTTATTCGCAGCAATTCAAAATGTAATTAATGCATTGGAGGACCATAAGAAAAACGGAGGGAACTTTTTTAACAATGGAAAACATCAAGGACGTAATGGAAATAAAGAAAATGGTGAAATTTCACATAATACCAGAACCAGGGGTGTTGGGAAACCGTTACCTAGAGGTACAGTAGTGTAAAATACAAGTACACTAGCCTTAGGAATAGAAAATGGATTCTTAGACACAAACAGAGTTGTTGACATGCAAATTTGTTTTAACAACAAAAAGTTATATGATTTTCACTTTTTATTCTTGACTCAAAAATGCTTGGATAGCGATTTTTTTTACTGTTTACACACCTTTTACCAATTCCTATACGCTAAATTCAAACAAGCAACTAAACTAGAAAACTACTATTTTGTTTTAAAAATATACTATTTTCTACAACAATAATATCTTTATATTTTCTGGATTTTGTTTTCTTTATTTTTTTACCTGTGATAACTGCTTGCAAATCCCAATCCCTCATATTATGAAGTATTTAATTAATTTTAAATAATTCTACTGTATACATTTCCCAAATACAAGCCTTAGGGGTTCCCTTTTCGTTCGAAGCAATTTGTGGGACACCAATTCAAGAAGCACGAACTAGTTGAATTCCACCAAATGACCGAAATACACAAACGTCTCAGATTAGTAATACATGTAAGGTGGGAAGAGAATGGAATATTAGACATTAACTCTGTTGGAATCTGACATAGCAATCCTAATGACTGTATTCATCCAACAGGCTAATTTAACTTTACACAGATTAATTTGATTACAATTTACCCTGTTCATATGTCGGATAGCAGTTGTCTGTGCAGTGATTTTGAACCCCACACTGAAGCGCACGAAATGGGCTTGCTAATGTTTTAACGGTTATTCTCATAATTTAAAATATTATTGGGGTCCTTCATTTGCTAATTCTTTCATTAATATTGATGAAGTACCCTCTCGTCTCCCTAACCACTCCCGAACCCACCGTCGTTTCTTCTTGTTCTTGTTTTTTGCACAGATCACTTACGCAAATCCGCAGCAGACGTCTTAAATATCCCAAACATGACATTTTCCTCAGCACAGTAATTTATTCTACACAACCATCAAACTGAAGTAGCCGCTACAACTCGCCATGTGTGACTGGAAGTGTTTTTCAGCCTGCGAGTACAAGTGGTGACTATATAGTAGACTTATAGTGGCGAGTGTGTGACAGGGCCTTAAGTTCTATTCTAGTTTCCAACATGAATGGTAATGTCATAACATCCATCCTAACAGCCGTATGGCAACAAAGGGCTTTTAACAACTGGAGGAAATATTTGCCAGTTTATTTAGAAAGTTATAATTATTGTAAGAATGCATTTATCTTTTAGCAGGCTCCTTTAATTTGTGGATGAGCAAATTTCAAGAGTTCCAGATGGCAGACGGACATCCCACTAAGAGTAAAATATCCGGTTTCTTTGCAAAGAAGAAGAAAGGTAAGGATGTATTACTCTATGCTATTCTACAGCATGATGCCAAAGAATGTCGCTATTGTTATTTAATGAACCAGACTTTTCAAACACGCTACATATAGTTACATATCAATTCTGATTATTGAACTATATATTGAAATAATGGACAGAATAAATAGTTCTTTATCATATTTATACATCAGCTAATTTGGGTGTCGATATTTCTTAGAATATTTTATTCATTTTTATGAAGAAGTATTTACTATATTAGTTTACTGATAGTTATAGTGTATTATTTATTGCTTGAAGATGAAGTACGAAGAAGATTAACTATGGAAAATGTGAAAGTATAGTGTTGTGAAAATTTCACTTAATGTGTGTGAAGTGTTCATAAGTCATAAATATTATTATGTGAATCGTTCAAGTGTTAAAACCAATATTTTAATTAGAGGTTATAGTGTATGTTTACATAAACAAATCATTATATTTTTTTACTAGCTGGCTTGACATACGTCGTCTTGTCCTAATGTGGTTTTATGTCAAATGCTAGTTCATTTACAAGATGAGCTCGTTCGCATCGCTCAATTAAAAAAAATACTGAATTTTAATTATAATTTTCCTATTAAAGCCATAAAACAACGTAAAAAACAATAAAAACTGCCTGAACGATTTTGATTAAAAATTTAGTATGTAATAAGTCCTTTAAACTCCAAACAAAATGGTACAACTCCGCTGCTGTAAAATTACGGTTCAGTAGTGATAGCATCTTTTGTGATTTTCCCCGTCAAATATCAAAGTTACTCCCACTCGTTAAAAGGGTTATTGACAATGATAGGGTTATAAGGGTTAATGGGAAGTATTTGCCGGATTGCTAATAGAATTTATTTGGAAAGTTATAATGTACGAATGCATTCATGTGTTCGCAGGCTTCCTTTTGAGATTCTTGGAGAAACTCATCGAGATCGTGAAGGCAAGCAGTCTTCTTCCTACGAATGAAAAAGCCAGTCATATTTCGCAGATGAATAAAGGTAAGTCTGTATATTCTACACTATTATACTCGATGTTGCCAAAGAAGGTTACTCTTTTAATTAATTCACCAGACTTTCCGAACACGCTACAAACTTGAAAGCCTACAGTTATAATAAATACATATGTAGAAAAATTCCCTTGGGTCTTTATTCGATTATGATCAATGTGAACAACATGGCAAACCAACTAAATATAAAAAAATGCTTTTAACTTTTTGGCTTGTGAAATATGGGTTTGTTATCAATGCTTAGCAATTAATAGACAGTTTGAATGAAGGGTTAATGTGCTTCATAATTTTCCCCATTCCTATGTCTTTGATTTCTTTACTTTTACTTACTCAAGTCACATTGTAAGTAATCAAGAATTTATTTGAAATGGTTTTGCAAATCAAATTACTTTATACCAGCATTTTGATGTTCCACGATTTTGCTCTGTATGGTAGTACCCTATACGTTTGTAGCGTATTTTGAAGGTTCAGTATATTAATAAAAAATACTAATCTCTTCGAGGGAGGTCGTACACGAAGTCCAAAACCGCGTTCACAACATAGATACAACACTGTTTTAACAAAGGTTTAATAATAGGAAAAACCGCAAGCTCGATAACAAACTAAATGTTGACATCAGTTGACAGTTTTTTGCCACAACAGCTTTGTTTTTCACAAGAAGTTGTAAACATCTGTTTGCAGTATTGAGTTTGAGTCGCGTTTATGCCGTGGTTTGCTACAAAATGTTTAAAACATGTGCCATCAACATTTTGTCACAAGCTCTGTGGAAAATTAGGATGTGTGTGTTACAACCTTATTCCCGCTAAAATATCGTCCTCGGGCTCTGCCCAGAAGGCATTAAAAGGGTCGATGTAAAGATTGAAAATTAAATTTTCTTGATATATCTCCATGTCAATAATGAGGAAATACACGATGTTTATATTTTGACATTTCAATTACAAATCTGTGTATACGCTTTATTTCCAATACATACAGCTTATTAAAAGCTAAATACAATAATTTGTACAACTATGTGGTTGGTTAATGTATTTTAAGATTGTGGTAATTGACGATTAAATAATGTTTCATAAAATTCCTGTAACAACCTACATCCTTATATCGAATATTTTTAACTTACTGTCTTATTTGTATTTACATTGTACTTATATTGTCTTATTTAGTATTTAAAATTATTTTGACTTGTGTAAAGGGTTGTTTCATCCCTTATTTTTTATTATATTAATAAAAATACAAAAAATAATAAAAATGATTCTGAAACTTAAAAAATAATGCAGGATTAAAATCGATGTTTTTACAAAATGTTTTCGATTTATTGTGAACTACCCTTGAATTTCAAACTGTAATAATTAAAGTAATTTTTCAAGATATTTTTATGCTATTTGGTATACGAGGTATGAGGTAAGTACAATTTAGTTATACTATTATATTTAATACATTAACTTCCTGTGACCTTGAAAAGCAGACTTTTTTATTTATTAATGTTTTATAATGCAACAAATTTTTAGTTAGGCCTTTGTATAAATTAATTGTATGAAAAAGAAATATGTAAATATTTCAGAATGTATTTCAAAAGTAGAAGTAAAATGTAATATATATATATTTTTTATTTCTAAAATAACATTTTAATATCTTTTCAGACACAACTGAAACATGGCAATTTGTTTAACTAGCAGCAGTCATATCACAATCAAAATCAACATTATTAATTTTATCGTTTTTGATCCAGAAATATTAACAGAATCGTTTGTGATGTTGATGTGTGTGTGTAAGGGTGTGTACTGGTCTACATACCACAACCGTGGTCCGATTTTTATTACATCTGGGACGTGGGCCCATCCGTGGTCTCTCCAGGTTTCTTTCAATTTTTGAAAATATTCAATTTTAATTATGATTTTCCTATAAAAACCCATAAAACAACGTAAACTACGATAACAAACTGCTTGAACATTTTTTATTAATATTTAGTATGTTATAGTTATTTTTACTCCAAACACATAGGTACATCTCCATTGCTGTAAAATAACGGTTCAGAAGTGATTGTTACTATTGTGATTATCCCCATTAATATATCAAAGTTGATCCCACTGATACCCGTGATTATGGGGGTTATTGACAAGGTCAAGCTAATGGGTGGAAGTATTTGCCAGTTTGCTGATTCTCTTTTTCTGGAAGTCATTGAAAGAATGTATTGTATGTTTTCGCAGGCTCCTCGAAGATTTTCTTGAACAAGCACTCCCAGTTACCCATGACAGACAAACAAATTACTACGAGAAAATTACCCAGTCACAATTCGGTGGTGAATACAGGTAAGGCTATTATAATGTACACGCTATTATCATGTACGTTGACTAAAAGGTCACTTTTTGATTAATTCAACAGACTTATCGTACGAGCTTTTTTATTTAAGATTTAGCTTTTTTATTTTAATTTTATATATTCTATTATAATTTGGTTTACAATTTTTTTTACCTAGCAGACGCACAGGCAGCTTTTGCCAATGTCTGTAGATTTTCTTAAAATAAATCAAACTACTATACCTGTTGCTCGAAATCGAGCAATTTTCAAGTACCTGTATTGACGAACATTCATAGATATTTTGGTAAAGTTTTCACAGCTAGTTACACAAATAAATTTTCTATTGTTGTTGGCATTGTTCCATTGTGATGTTGATTTGTTTCATCATAGACAAATATCCCAAACTAATGTCTAAAATCCAAAGACATTTTGTAGGATTTGGAAGAATCCCTTCAGAAAATGAGAGAAGCGAAGGACCCAGTGGGATTGGAGAAGGCAAAAGTATTACAAATAGTCGAACAGATCAGCCTAGTGCTAGAACTGGGGATTTTAGACATAACGAAGCCAAAATATCAGGTACGTTCGCCTTGTAAAAATGGACTCCTTAACAAAACGAGATGTTACGGCATTAAAAGCCTCCAGAAACTTCAGATGAACTGTCGAAGGGAACAGAAATAAAATGTTTACTGTAATCTCAGCAATACTTTAGACTTTTCAGTGGCTATTGCTATTTCATTGTTTTCAAATTTTAATTTTACTTTTTTTCAACTTACAAAAAAAGATACTGAATGAGAAAATGTTACTTTTGTCTTGAAAAATGTTTATACAAGAATATTTATAAGAAAAATTACTTGCAAGTCTTAATTGCTATTTTAAAGTTATGTTAGTTTGAAACAATTTTATTTTAGTTACTTTCCAATTTAAAATCTAAAAATTCGCTGTTTGTTCGCAGCCTTCCATGAACCGGATGATCAAAATAAAATTGTAGAAAACTCTCTTAGCAAAGGAGAAAATCAAGGACCTAATGGAAATAAAGAAACTAGTGAAATTTCACAGAATACCGGAACCGGATGGATTGAGAAACCGGTACTTCCAGGTAAAGTATTGTAAAAACATGTACACGAGCCTTAGGAATAGACAATGGATTCTTAGACACATAGTGAATTGTTGACAGGCAGATTGTTTGAACAAAAAAATAATAATATGATTTTCACTATGTATTCTAAACCTCAAAAAATGTTTCGATAGCGAATCTTAAGACAGTTTACCAAACCTACCTTTTACCAATTTCAAAACAAAAAATATTTTTGTGGTTTTATATACGTTAAATTAAAACAAGGGACTAAAAATGAGAAAATGTTTATTTTGTTTAAAAAGATACTATTTTCTATAATTATCTTTCTTTTTCATAGACGATATTTTTGGCCTATGAAAACTGCTTGCAAAATTCAATCTCACATGGGAAGGTTAAGTTAATTTCAAATAACTCTACTGGTAACACTTCCCAAATGCAGTCTAAGAGGTTCACTTTTTGTTCGCGGCAATTGGTGGTACATTTGCTTTGAAATTTCAATGTAAACAAGAAGAACTGCCAAATTGCATATTTCACAATTTAAGACAGCTAATCCAATGAAATATATATGAATATAATTTATTATTATTATCATTATTATTATTATTATATTATATATATGATATATTATATTTATTATTATTATATATATTTTATATATATAAATTATATATATATATAATAGATAGGATGTTGGTTTGTTTATATGTTTGTTTATTTGGCTGTTATAATCCTAGACACCGCTGGACCGATGGCTTCAAAACTTGGTACATACGTGTAGAATTTCATGGAATAGGTTTACTCGTTTTTCACACCATCAATTTCGTGATCAATCCAAATGGCTCCGCCCCAGTGGCTCTGGAGTTTCCCCATGTTAACCTTATGAGTACTTATATTTAAATTGAATTAATGAATCTTAACAGCTATTTCAACTAAACAATTTGATTCTGTGATGTTCAATAGCATTAAAAAGTTAACAGGTTTACCAACAGGGTGCAGCACTATTATTTGTTAAAATATTTTACAACAGCTAATTTGTACCAAACAGAAACAGTAAGATGTGAGAAAAATTACCTACAAGTCTCAATCTCAATTTTAAAGTTATGTTAGTTTAAAATTATTTTATTTTAGATACTTTCCGATTTAAAATCTTAAAGATTCACTGTTTATTCGCAGCCCTCCATGAACCGGATGATCAAAATAAAATGGTAGAAAACTCTCTTAGCAAAGGTGAAAATCAAGGACCTAATGGAAATAAAGGAAATAGTGAAATTTCACAGAATACCGGAACCGGAGGGATTGGGAAACCGGTGCTTCCAGGTACAGTATTGTAAAAACATGTACACGCGCCTTAGAAATAGACAATGTATTCTTGACGTTTATACAACAATCATTATCATTAATGTGTATTATTTTTTCACTGTCGCTCATATACTGTTTTAACAATGTCATTGGCCTTGGTTCTTGGCTATGGTGTATCAAAAACGAGTTTGCTAACCAGAATTTACTTGGATTAGCTCTGTAAATTCACGCCACTTATCAAATAATACTCTATTCGATACTGAGTAAACTCATGTTTTTAGACTTCTACCAAAACGTTCACAGTGTAGTGCTTGGTGGCAACGTAGGCATTTACGAAAAAACGGGACCCATTTTCAAAACTGTCGTTTAACCACCCGAAATGGATGTGTATGTAACATTGTCGTTTAGAAAAGAGCGTAGGAAGTAATTCACTATTCTAATAAAGGGATATCTATATCCAATAACCAGAACTGCACAGTAAGCCTAAGTTTGAACTGTAAATATTAGACTTAGTTTTAAAATTGTTCCACAGTGAAACTTAATATTCCAATGATTTTTTATTCAGTAGTGTGGTGAAAAACATAGTTCAAACCTCAAGCAAAAGTGTTTTGCACGGTCTCGACCAATGGAGTGCTTGCACTTCAAACATAATAGTAAACATAACATGGTCTCGAACGTGCAAAATCGTACTTTCCATTCTTGATATAAAATATACTACAGCTGATGTCCTCAACTCCAGGTGATTCTTTTTTGCATTAATAAAAAAAAGTTATTGCTGCAACATTGTATTGAAAACAACATTTTCGTTGCTGTATGATATTTATTTGTGCACATCATAAAATACAGTTATTTGTACAGCTAGTGAGCATAGTGGTATTTTTTTAACGAGAGGCGCACAAGGTTGCCGGTCGTTTAGATTGTATCAAGATAAAAAAATACAGTTATGTATAACATTTAAAATGTGATTATCGATTTATTCTACTCATGGGCATTCACCTGTTGATTGTGAATAAACTAATTCTAATGACCGAAATGCATCTGTGTAGGAAAACTGTAGACAAAATGTGTTTTGTCCATCACCATTCATTTCCTCTAATGACCAATTGTGATGTTGCAGCGACTGTTTATGGAGACGACAAATGCGAGATTTGTCCATGGACTAGGTGCACACCCGGGGGGACGAGCCATTGGACAACCGTTAACATGGAGGACGACATAAGGACAATTATGTCTGACGACTTGGACAAGATGAAGCTTATCCCCATACTCGCTTTCCGCACGGAGAACGAAAGAAAAACACTCGCTGAGAAATACAGAGTAATCGAGAAAGTCAAACTGAGAAAGACAGTGCACGATAGAATCACGATAGGGAATAGGTTCCAGAAAACCATGGAGGACCTGGCAACACCCTTGGACGAGTTTTACGCCTATCAGTTGAATTATATACTGTTTACATTTCTCGAACCCAGGTTGACAAATCATCCTAGTTTCAGCATTGGAAAAACTTTCCCACAAAAGGTGGCAGCGCGGAAAATTTTGATACAGATAATCGTAACTCTTACACCTTGTCTTATGCAAAAAGTCAGAGAGTTTTATAAGGTACAGTATGGAGATTCACTAGAAAACGATATAAATGCAATTTTGTCAACGCATCAGACCCCTGAAAAAAATGGAATGGATGAAAAGTACATCAAATTCATCACGGACCTTATCAAACGTGAGTCATATATCGTGCGGGAGAACACACTGGATTCCGAACCAAACCAAGATGATCAACACCTTCTGTCAAACGCGCAATTCCTTCAACTTTCTCTTCCCGAAATGAAGAAATTTGTCGAAGAAAAGGGAGTTGATACCATAAAGGCACACCTCAAAGAAAACGATATGTTTGACGAAGAATTGCATACAACCATACTGGACATAGCGTTGAATCAACAGAAGTTTTTTGCTGATGAACTACGTAAAATGTTTTTAGAAAAACCATTTGACGACGTAAAATTTATAAATTTTATGAGAGGCCACTTTGGAACTGATCTAGGAGATATCCAAAAGGAATACGACGAAGAGAGTGTAAGAAAAAGAGAGGAAAACTTGTTTGAAGCGTTTGAACATACGGATACAACTAAAAAGCATTACTACAATGCTATTTACGCTCTTCTCACCGGCAAACTTTTAATGTAAAACACACCATTATAACCATTATTATAGTAATATCGTGTTTCTTACCGTTATTTAAGTCTTCAAAATGGATCAAACAATATAAAGTTCTGCAGTGTAAATAACAATTTTAAAGAAACTCCTGCGCCATTCTATACTAAAGAGGACGTCACCAAATCATTTTATTTCTTAAATAGTGTGTGTGAAATTTCGGATATTTCCATCAACTTTTAAAAATCAGAATGGTTTTCTTTCGATGAATTTAAGTAATTTCTCGTATTTGCTATATTGAACATTATTTGTGTTTGTAACTAATCATAAAAAACACAACATGTAACAATTAAAGGTAAATTTGAAATTTTTGTAAAATGTTATGTCTCCCATTTACTTCGAATAGTGTTAGACTTTAAATCTTATCGTGATATATAGAGGTTTTTAGTTGTACTTCATGTTGATGACGTTTTAGACTGTTAATTTTGATTTAACAGGATTTTCTTTTACTGTAGGGTAGCCTTTATTTTACGATTTTTGTTTGGTATTTATTTCTTCTGATTTCGCTTACTCTAAAACTATCAATGTTTAAATTATTGTTGTTATAACTAAAGAGTGTACTGTATAATATACACTTAAAAATATTTCATTGTTTTGAAAAGCAATTCCTGTTGATATTTTTACTCGACGTGCTAATGGACACATATGAGTAACAAGTATATTTCTTACGTCAATTTTGGAATCAGCTTCAATTAACACCATTAGCCTCACAGTATAACTAATTTCTGCATCAAATAGAAGTTCTAAACCCGTGGAAATAAATCCAGCCTGTAAAAATCTATTTTCACTATAATTTGCATATGAACTTTCAAAAATGTAATGTAGGCCTTATGGGTTGCCATGCCACCATGTACTGTTTTGCACGCACATAAACACACGTTACTCATGTTCATACAGATCAAAAGAAAAGAGCATTTGGATAAATATCATTCAGCATAGTATACTAAAAGAAAAATAACCAGGTCTATGTTTCGAGGTGGGATTTACGAGAAGTAAACACGGTAAAATACATAATTTGTTTTCAGTGTCCACCAAAAACACAACAAAATAAGTTTACATACGGAAATTACAACGCCCATTATCAATAGGTCAATAAAAAACTAATTAAATTATGTGGTCTTACAATATAGTGTTTCCAGTTATGATGTCTTTTTACGGGTTTCTACCATATCTCTGGACATTTAAATAATCTGACTGAACTGTCAATAGTAGTTTACGCAACGATTGCGTAAAGTTAGTGTTAACGACACGAGTAGAAAATTTAAGGTACGAGCCTTGGCGAGTGCCTTAAAAACTTCTATGAGTGTCGTTAACACTATTTACGCGAGTTGCGTACACTACTTTACCTACGACAGTGTTTTAATTACCAAAAATAACTACCCATAACTTCTAAGAAAGGTTATGTTTTCTTTCATAACCTCTCATTGCCAATGACAGTGATGCAACGAAACGTTGAACCAAACACTAATTGCACCACTCAACAATTAAATTGGCGTGAACAGCTGATTAGTTGAAGTTCGAAACATTACAATTTTACTTCTTCGCTCTCAATCCTTGAACGTCATTGGTCCGTTACCCGTGTTGTTATGAGTAAAACCTTGTGTTGGTTAGTCTATGGTAAAACTATGCTGTTATGGAAGTAAACAATGCTGGTATGAGAAACTTTTCAATTCTAAGAACTGAACTGAAACGGCTACTTTAAAAAATGGTCGTAGGTAAAAGATTTAACATAATTGTTGTGTACTCTATGTCAATAATGAATAACGAATTGGACATATAATATGTTGCGTGGGGAATTCACGAGAAGATAAAATGAGGTCTTACACGAAAGCTGAAAAAGTATATATTTTAACCATGTTAATTGTAAATGTAATGTGACCCTTCTTAGATTTCCATTTCTTATTGCGAGTGTACAGTATTCAAGTGTAAACTTATTTTGAGGCCCAAGAGAAAACTCAAAGGGTCAAAAATAAACTTTTTACTTTTTAAAACCCACTTGAGGAGATTTATTAGTCAATGTTAATTTACTTGTTGGGGAAATAAATTTACTGTAGCCTGTAATGGGTTGATGGGGGTTGATAATTAAGTAATGAAGTAGACGAATTAATAAATAAATAATAATTGAACATAAACAAATGAACAAATGTTATGGCTAGGCGCTCACAACGTTTACGTGAGAAGAAAAAACAACCTTGAAAACGCCACACGTTTATATTGATTGGTGCGGCGAAACGTCGGAGCTGAGAACTTTAGTCTGTGATTTTATATTAAGTTTTATTTTTATTTTTGTATTTTTTATCATTGTGTATGTGCAATGAACTGTGATATGTGATATGTCAAGAACTGTGTTCTCCTGATTTCAATAAGGTGAGGGATGCCCAAAAATATTTATCATACTGAAATAAACAGATGATTAATGGTAGGAATAATAATTATATAAATAATCAATATTTAATTCAAAATGGACGTTTTAGTTAAGTGACACGGTGGATAACTTATGAGTAAATGGTAAACTTACGACTACGATCGCCAATCCGGTTCTTATTGGTTGATAGTAGTACTATTCTATGACGTCATGGCCACATTCTGAGGTATCCCAAAAGATTGTTACCTCAAAACGGACATTTTCCGTTTTCGATGTGTTCTCCTATTTACTAGGTTGCACCGACGCGCACGCTCAAAGACGAAGCTGGAGAGAGTTCGAACAGGAGGAGATCAGGCACTGGGGCAAGATGATTCCTGACCACAAACGACAAAAGGTAAGATATGAAGAGAAGGCTGAAGAAATGGAATACCTTTTCAGACTAATCAGAAGACAGTGCAGCAGATCAACCAGTCTATAAGATAGGTAGTGCGATAAGAAGGAAAAGACTTTCGCAGAGAAGAGAAGAAATACTTGTACTACCCCAGAAGAAGACGACAAAGAGTAAAAACGGTCTAGGTTGAAGATTGTTTAAATCGATTAGAGGTTTCAGGGGGGATAACTGTCTTGTTATGCAAAACTGGTTATTGAGTTTATTCAACCAACCACGGGATGAGGCAGATGGGCGACTAATGTGTATAGTCGTGATTTTCTACAACTCCACCATCGAGTTGTCCACCGTCACTCGCGGGAATATCGAATAGGCTATTATCGAGACGTGCGACATTGAAACTAGCATATATCTATATAATTCCGGTCAGTGTCCAACGGAAGGTGTTCAGCCTCTCACTTCCCATCATCACTCAACTCCAGACTCCATAGTGGTGGAAGGAGCTCCACTCCACTCATTAAAATTAGATGTTTATTTAATTGTATAATAATATAATTGTATAAAGATTTAAAATGGTGTTTTAATTTTAGCGAATTTCCCATATAGGGAATAAGCTATTACCGTAGGTCTCATGGTAAGACCTAGACCCGGGACCGATTTACTTTTTCGTTTTGAGGTCCCCAGAGGCCAAAAACACCATCCGTTCAAATTCATATATATATATATATATATATTTATATATGTGTCCGTTAGCGCGATAACTCGAGCAAAAATGATCCGATTTTGATGAAATTTGGTACAAAAGTGTAAACCTATGTTCATTCGAACGAGTTCGCGAACCAGCATGATCGGACCATGGGAACAGGGGTTTATGGGGGGTTTTATGGGGTAAAAATAGGTTTTTCCCATTTTTGACCCTAAAAACTTAAGATTTAGCAATTTCTTTCCAAATCATTTTGTAGAGCTTAAAAAAACAAATAATTTAGTATATTGAAGCGCTGTTGTATGCCTAACGGTCACGGAGAAAATTAAAAAAAAAAGGTAATTTAAAATTCCCATGTTATTCTTATGGAGAAAATGAAAACTGTTGTAATTTACTTGTTTATGGATATAATGTTGATAAAATTTGGCAAATTTATTTATTTCATCCTATACTATTGACATATTGTCAAAAAACACTTTTTACCTTCCCCGTAGCAGCAAACCTAAGCACTCGTTAAATCTAATGTTATTTAAATTGGAAATATATAACTTATGTTTTATTTATGGAAATATTTTAGTAAAAATGTAATCAGACAAATTGAAATTTGCTTAGTCTGCAGGTTTGCTGCGGCGGGGGTATTTTTTTTTAATGGCTAATATTGAAAATCTTTGAACATCTGCCATTGTGCGCAGGATCTTTTGAAGTGCGGTTGGCGGCATTTTATTCTACTAAAAACGACCTTTCATTTGATGTGCATACTGACCTATGCTTCCATTTAAGATTTTCTTCCAAATCGTTGTGGGCCGTCCCCCTGAAGAGTTATTGGATCACTGAATATGTGTTAAAATAGAGTGTTATGCCTTGTAACTTTGTACAAAGTATTGTAGCTCTATCTACAGTATTTTTTTAAATATTTTACTGTCTTCGGACTTTATTACCACCCTGCATACCTGGTTAACATATAGGCATATTCCTGTTATAATATTTCCCTTGAGCTACGCCCCATGGGCTTCAAAGTATCAACGTTTTGGAAGAATGTAAATAGTCAAAAATATAAATTGAAATAAGCTGTAAATACTATAATTTGACAGTTCAAACAGCAGGATGTTAAGAGGTACAGGTTCTACTCCCAAGATTCTAAAGCTTTATGATTATAAGAATAGTTTGATTAAAATATTTATGAAAATATACTTACTTTTACGGAATCATTACAATTTATACATGTTTTGGAATAATTTTGATATGGTAGCTTTTGTTTACAAACTTGAACTGATAAATAAATGTTTGGATCAGGATTTTAATAGGTTTTAAAAACGAAGAGATATATGTACTGGTACAGTTTAAAAAATGTAACTTACTCAATGTTTACACTTTTATTTGTGTTTTGTTATAATTCAATTTACAACTAAAAAAATTTATTTACCTTTTGTCTACAGCTCAATAAGTTGTAACTTTCGTTACGGCCGTTTCGGCATGAACATGCCATCATCAGACGTTTTCGGCTGAAGCAGCGTCGTCACAGTAGAAACATATAACACGAACACGAACACATTTTACGAATACAAATATACAAAAATAAAACTAACAGGCCTGTCGCACACACGTTACCGGTTGACATGATCAGAGCTAGATGCCGACTCTAATGAGTGTCTAATGTTGAGATTTTTTAACGCCATATAGATGTTGGCACTCACCGATATGGTCTTTATCACCATGCAAAATTTGAAAACGATTGCTTCAGCCGTCTAGGAGGAGTTTGCGTATTACGAAATGCATAAGAGTCGACGTACTAAACTAGTACTAGTTTAAGAGCTTCGCTTGATAAATTTATGAATGTTCACGGCTTTTTGCCTCTAGGGACCTCAAAACAAAAAGAATATCGGTCCCGGGTCCAGGTCTTACCACGAGTACTACAATAATAGTAATACTATGGTAATAGCTTACTCCTTATATGGGAAGTTCTCTAAATCACACCTACGGTGGACTTTTTATAGAATTTGTTATGTGGGTAGGGTACTTATCCATGGTATCTCCAGGCTAATCAAGAATTTTACAGTAGTAGAAGACCGTCGCTGAGTGTAAAAACAAAATACAAGTAATATTCAGTTCAATATTTCCCAACTGTCTCATAAAATATAAAATCTTATAATTCTATTTTACATATTATTCAAAAGTATCAATACTTGGCTTGCGCTCTAACTCATTCTTGTTAACCTTTACAAATAAATATGATCTTGAAAAATATTTGCGTCAATAACTAGAAATGATTCGCTGATGTACAATAATTGATCCAATTACTGTTTACCAAGTTGCACTTGTTTTCACCAACTGTCGCACTCGTCAATTCCAGTGTAGCCGCCATTTTCATAAAGTGTGTGTTCCTGTGCGTTAGGAGATGAACGTATGAACACAAAATGGACACATCTACCTGGTTGGCACTGATGGCCACATTTTACGTCTTGCATGATCAAGGTAAATTGTCTTACGAATTGCATCAATTTGTTTTTAAATTCTTGTGCGTACTGTCGAGCAATAATGATCTACTCGTACTTAGTGATGTTGGATTACTTTAGTAATTATTTTGGAACTACACAGAAAAAGGAACAGCTGATTTTAAGTGCAATTTGATGAATAATTTTTTCACCACACTACGATGTTTTAGCCGTTTTACAAACGTTAATTGGAGGCTGAAAGCTACGTATTGCTGTCCATGTCAGCTTTCATCGTCATTTGGGAACCGAGCAGGTGTTTGCGGCCCTAGGATCGAAAATCAGCTGTTAGCTTATTAACTTATAACATTAATGTATTTAATGCACAAGCTGTATCCATATTACCACTATTTACCACAACAATAATGCACACTAACAGTCAACACAACTACACCTTCAAGGTTATGTGAAGGAAAGATTTGAGGAATCAGCAAAAATAATAATAAATAGTTGCTAGTCAGTGAAGTCTATTAATTGAAATGTTTTGGATCAATTTGGATATTGATTGTGTATTTAATATGCATAAATTTTTTAAGTAAGTAAGCGAACAGCTGATTTTCAGCCCTAGGGATGTAAAAATCCGCTCGGTCCCCAAGTAACGAAATCCAGCAATAATTTTTGGCCACCAATAAACGTTTGTAAAACGGCTAAAAACATCGTAGTGCGAAAAATACATTGCTCTTATTTTATTGTCACCACAGCTTAGCAACTATTTATTATTTTTACTGATTCCTCTAAATTTGTCTTCGATAGCCTAACCGTAAATTTGCTCTTGTATTGACTGTTATAAGATCACTTTTTGCAATACACTTATGTTAAAATGATTAGTAACTGAGCGGAGCTAATAAGATCGAGCCTTATGCAAACTGTGTAATTGAATCATGCTATAACGGCTGAACACATCAAAACTTACCAAGGGTTTATTCAATAAAGAGTGGGAAAGATATTCAACCAACAATTTTCAATCTTATAAAACCTACACAATTTAATACTGACATAATTGTTTTCAAATTTTAACATAAGGGTTATGTGTGGCGATTACGAAATAACAACGTTGATGTAAATAATCATAGCATATGTTTATAAGCAAACAAACAAACGATCTTAATACAGTACAAAAGGAAGCCAACTCTGGTGAAAATCATTGATCAAAGATTAAACAGAGAGTTCCAGGGCATTTTGAAACTATTACTGATCAAGTAGGTACAGAATCTTTAAGTAACTGTTTCCTTTAATTTGAAATGAGTAAAATGTTCACTCAGGCAATTCGCACTAGATCTTACAGATGCAATTTCGGTACATCTCAGCCAGGATGCAATTAATGGTAAAATCCAGCGCGTTTGGAAACTACCGTGCTTGTGCCGTAAACACTCGTTTTCCGGCCTTTTAGTGGGATATACTAGTATGTAGTGGTGTTTATAAAAGAATGCCGGGATTTTAAACGGTCGTTGCTCAGGGACTATTCAAGATAATTAAATGATTTAAACGTCAAATTGAAGGGAAAAGAACAAAGTTTTTCTTCATACTTTGATACTATTCGGAATAATTTAAGAAAATTTATTTTCATCAATTTTCAATCAATTTTCATCAATCTTATATGAGCGTAAAACTGGCTAAGTCTCTACGCTTAGGGCGATCGGCACAAGATTTATCTGATACAACTGAATCTTCTTAGGCACAAAGACTCTTATGCACAAAGACTTTTACAGATAACATCATGAAGTGTTGATTTAGGTATGTTCAACTCAAGACTTCGTTGGGCAATCGTTTTTTGGGGCTTCTGATGCGGAATTGTCAGATTACTTCGACTGTGTTATCACTTGTTTTTATCCGGCCAGGTGAATGTCATTTCAAAACACTACGGTGTCACAAAACTCATTAAACCAGTGTTAAATTTATTTATCATCTAGAGATTTGAATTTAGTTTAATCTAGCAATCGATATAAACTCTGTGAACCACAGATAACACTCTGTGCCTTCTGTTGTGCCGTAAAAATTGCACTGGCGTAGTGGCGTCAGGCCTCTGAGTCACAATAGCGGCCTATCACCCTGCACCTGTTTTGCGCATTCCAAGGTCAAAGTTTCCTCCCTTACTACACGGGAACAAAACTTGGTTGTTTTAGCTCCAATTTGACGTGTAAAACGTTTAGTTACCTTCAATAGTACCCAAGCAATTACTATTTAAAATCCCGGCATTCTTTTATAAACACCTTGTATTTAAAGCGTGATTTACTAATTTTACTGTAACTTTCTCCCCTTATATGGAGAAAGTAGTGTGTCCGTCAAAATCTTACAGTCTGAGTTTCGGGTAGAATACATCCGTTATGGGTCCCCCTAAGCCAGTTTTTGAAGTGATGTCGGTGTTCGTGTGTGTGTGCTTGTGTACAGAGCTACAGACCACGCCTGTGGTGCGATTTTGATTTAATTTGGGATGTGGGTCCATCCATGGTATCTTTCAATTTTAGAAATTTTGAATTTTGGTTTTTAAATCGTGATTTTTCTATAAAACCCCTTAACACAGAAAATGCAAAAACGGCTTGAGCGATTTTGATTAAAATTTAGTATGTTATAGTCCTTTTAACTTCAAACAAAATGGTACAAGCATTGCTGTAAAATTGCAGTTCAAAAGTGATTGTAACATGTTATTTATAAAATATCAAAGTCACTCCCACCACCCGTGATACAATTGACAATGAGAAAGTATTTGCCAGTTTTCTGATCCCGTTTTTTTTGGAAAGTTGTAAGAATGCATTTATGTTTTCGCAGGCATAACTAAGATTATGTGGAACAGAGCCTATGACTATTTGATGTCAGACGATGAGCACCCTACCACGAGTGAAATAGCCGGACACATTTCCGATGTGAATAAAGGTAAGCACGTCTATTCTACGATCTTCTACTGTGGTTGAGTTATTTATAGTTGATGTGAGCCACAGATTGTGCAGATCTCAAATAACTTATTTCTATCGAATGTACGTACTTTTTACCAAGTTAAAGTAATGGAATGACTTATTCCGAGCTATAGCAACTGTTTTGACCCATGAAACTGGTCAGCAACAAAAAATAAGGAAGAATTTTAGACACTAGCGTATTCTGTGACTGGCTCACACATCTCTTTTTTTAATTGGCGATAGCTAGTCGATATTGATGGGTCTATTTCAGTATCCAATAGTCAATGCATGTAAATAACAGATCAACTACAGGTTGATATAAACTGTAGTCCAATAATAATTTTATTTTATTTATGTGCATTATAAATCTTAAACATGGGCTGTCCATATAAACATGTTGAATCTTATTCACAGTAAGCTCTTAATATGAAACCAAATAGAACACAATGTTCAAATGCATATAATTGATCGGCAATTAACTAGAGGAAGCAGGCTGCCAACGTATGGCTTTGTTTTGTCCGAAAAGAGTGACCCTGAACTTGTAATTTGGGGAGCGTTTAAAAAATAACACTCTGTATATAGCAGATGAGTACTATTAGTCGTGAATTCATTATAATATTACAAACAACAGGAATTCATTAACAAATGGAGATAGCTTGCTGATTAATTAAAACGAAGATTTTGAATATACGAGTACGGTATATAACTTGTCCACAAACAGCATTTACAAATAGTTTGTTTATATTGTACGGTAATTTAATTGATCGTCACTTTGCCCGTCTACTTTAATTTATTAATGTAATTCTAAATTATTTTTACACTTTTGAAACTCTATAAAAGACAAACTATACATAATATTACCACGTAATTAGAATCAATTAAAAGATGAGATTCTAAAGTTTTGTATGACACTACTTTGGTAAACAAAGTTGCAAAATTAGCATCTACAGACATTTTAAAATTTTAACTACGATTTTAAACTAATTGCACACTTTCAACTCTCTGAATCTTAGGTGTCAATTAATTAGTTTTATAAAATAGCACTCAGTTATTGTTGTACGCCATTATTTGAAGCAGCGAGGAACCAAAAAGTAAAACGTGTTCTGTATTTTAGAGTTTGTGACGACTTCAATCATCGAATGGAATGTGCTGTGGTGTTAGAGGGGGCGCAAAGAGCATTTATAGTTTTTTTTTTGTTTTTAGCCACAATCTTGTTCGATTGTTTTTATTAAATCCCCTTCTATCCTACATACTTTTTATGCCACAAGTTTCTTAGACTTTAAATTGTGTAATTAATTTAAAACCGTAGTTAAAATCTAAAAATGTCTGAAGAGGCTGATTTTGCAACAATGTTTACCAAAGTACTCCCTATCACACTAAACTTTAGAATATCCTCTTTCAATTGCTTGTCATCACATGACGATAAGTTTTATAGTTTTTCATTTATAGAGTTTCAAAAGTGTCATCAAGAAGCAAAACTGCACAACTGCCAAATAATGAGTCCTACTTCGGATTGCTAAGATATTGGATTCCTCAATTTGCTCTGACTCATTTTGTTATGTGTGTGTATATTCCAGAAAGCGCATCGAACATATGTGATTCGACGGGAGACCCGGCGACATATGTACAAACACAGACGGCTTTTGGTAAGTTAAAACACCACAATGGAACCCAGAAGTAAATTAATGCTAATAAACATATGCCAGACATTGCACAGTAAATTAATTTCCCCCTGGTAATTAATTTCACTGACACACAACTATGATGTTTATATGGTCCGAAATCTATTATATTATTAAAGTGATACAATCAAATTTTATGTAAACGGTTAAGGGCATTTACCAAATAAAAATATAGGCATATGGCATATCAAAATTAAGCTTAGAGTGTGTAGATTTGCCGAAAAGTATTGATATGGACGAAATCCCTAAGGGCTCTGCTCCACAGGCTGATTCCCAAAGGGCTACGCCTTGCATGTTTTGGAAATTAACGTCATTCGATTAATTTAGTGCTGGCCATGCAATTTACAATATACTTTGTTTGTTTACATTTTTGTTTACTTTTTTTATTATTTACTTTTATGTTCTTAAAAGAGGTGCGGTGAATAGACATTGAAGCTATTTCTAGCTGTTTGATACAAGTGAGTGATTAAAGGTGTTCGAAACACGATGAATATGAGATTAACAAACCATGTATGTTCGTTCCAAGAGGTTGTCACCGATCTTTAACAGGTCGCCATTTCATTGAAAAGTGTTTAAGTAAAGTATCAAAGACGTGAAAGAGAGCGGCGAGTTCAGGTACAACCGTACCCACCTCGGCCACCTTAGGACGTAAGGTTTGAAGGCTCCTATGGTTTTACCATCCTTTCAGATGACAATTTATCGAACTTGGGCGCTTTAAATGAAATATATAGTCAAAGTTGATTAAATTAATTTAATGGTGGCTTCTGTACACCCGTGAATTCACGGGTAGAACCTCTTGTAACCATTAAACCTTATTTTTATTCTAACAGCTGATGATTAAATAAATTGCAGACAAATGTAAACAAAAACCAAAAACAAATTATTCTTCCTATACGAACTCCATGCTAACTTGGACCTTCTGTAGGGAGGGGCCCATGGGAATTTGGTAAAATCACTTCTCATTGGCTGCCTACGCTACTAGTAGATAATGATTACCAACGATTATACTTTATGTACGGGTTTTCCTGTTCTTAGAACTTTGATGCTTTGGATGCTATCTTTTTCTATGGGATGAATTTGAAGGCGAAGACTATTTGTGTATTTTTTTCGACACTTTAATAACCAGAGGTAGTTTGACGAAAAAACCAGATGGTTGGTGGTTGAAACTTCAAGAAATATTGGACGCGTCGAATTCTAAAGACATCCGTCAACAATAAAGTTGAAGATTTGGATTGTGTCCCGAAATATACAACCCATGTCTCCCATCACCACCGATCAAAAAATGTTAGTATTTTTTATATATTCTGTATATTTTTTTTTAAATGTCACACTCTTTGATCCATATCCCGTCGAGAAAATAATAAATATAAAACCCCCTTGGAAATTAGTAAGAACTTGCCAACAAACAATTACTACTACTACTGCTGCTGCCCTTACTATTATTGTTAATAATGCCAACATTCATAAATATTTGTTTGACATTTCCACAGCTTTACACTAAGGAATTTTCTGTTTTTGTTGGCCGAGTCTATTGTGATGTTAATTTGTTTATTCACAGACAGAAATCCTGAACTCTTGGCTGAAATCCAAAGAAGTTGGCAAGAATTACTCGATGAGAATGGAGCAGACCAAAGTAATACAAATGGTCAAACCGAAAAGCTTAGTGCTAGAGATATTACAGAAGCAAAAAAAACAGGTACGTTTGCCTTGTATTAGAAAATATATTCTTTGACTAAACGAGATGTGACATCGTGCAGATATTTAAGCCTCCAGAAAATTCGGTTGAACTGACAAGGCGATCAGCTATTCAATTTTCACTCTAAAGTCTGCAATACTGTTGACATTTCGAAACCTATTAATGTTTCTGTGTTTTAACATTTTAAATAATAACTTTTCCAAATTTTCCAAAAAACATACTAAAGGCTAAAATGGTACAACAATCATTATCATCCTGTTTTCTAGACAAGAATACACTTATGTATAAGATAAAATTAAGTGTCATCTCAATCTATATGGAATTTATGTATCTCAATTTTTTGTGCAATTTATTTATCTCAATATTAATTTTGAAGATGTGTTGAAATTATTTTATTTTGGTAACTACAAAGTAAATAAACAAAGTGTACCAACGGTTGACTCAAGTACTAATGCAAGAGGGCAAACATATGGAGGAAATAGTGAAATTCCACACCATACTGGAACCGGAGAACGTACAGAGATTGGGATACCGGTACTGCAAGGTACACTAGGGGATAAAACAGGTACGTGTGCCTTAGGAATAGACTATGGATTCTTCAAATAAAAGATTGTTGACATGCAGGTTTTCGGGTTGAACCACAACTCAAAAATGCGTTCCATATTTGTATAACGAGGTTTGCTACTCTGTTTACACAACCTTTTGCAAATTTGTATTCGTACAATCCACACAAGGATACCCCTAGTTAACTTTTTAATGTGTGACAACAGGAAAACTGAACTCTACATACCTTCATAAAAAATAAAACTGCACTTTTTGGACGGTGTCCCAATTTTTCCCGGGACCCCAAAGTGGGGTGTTTTGGGAGCAGCTCCAAAATTGTAAATGTAAAGCCCATCGATTGACACCTCATTTTAAAGACGTTTATTAAAGAAGGATATCAGCGAAAACTAGAGGTCTCGATCTCAACCCAGTACGAAATGGCGGTCATTTTAAATATTCATCAGCCTGAGAGAACCCACTTAAATGTAGGCATCAATATCCCATATTAATTTTTAGCGGGTTATACCAGGAAAAGTATACTCCGCATACTCCGCATACGGGACCCCGAAATGGGGTATTTTGGGGGCAGCTCAACAATTTTAAATGTAAAGCCCCATCGAGTGACACTTCATTTTACAAGCCTTTATTATAGAAGAATATCAGAAAAAATTAGAGGTCTCTATCTCAACCCAGTACGACATGGCGGTCATTTGAAAATTCATCGTACAATTTAACCTCATTAAAGGTTTCTCTCAGGCTGATGAAAATTTAAAATGACCGCCATATCGTACTGGGTTGAGATAGAGACCTCTAGTTTTCGCTGATATTCTTCTTTAATAAAGGCCTTAAAAACGAGGTTTCATTCGATGGGGCTTTACATTTAAAATTGTTGAGCTGTCCCCAAAACACCCCATTTCGGGGTCCCGGGCAAAATTGTGATACCAACCAAAAAGTGCATTTTTGTTTCTTTTGAAGGTATGCGGAGTTTACTTTTCCTGGTATAACCCGCTAAAAAAATAATATGGGATATTGATGCCTACATTTAAGTGGGTTCTCTCAGGCTGATGAAAATTTAAAATGACCGCCATGTCGTACTGGGTTGAGATAGAGACCTCTAGTTTTCGCTGATATTCTTCTTTAATAAACGTCTTTAAAATGAGGTGTCAATCGATGGGGCTTTACATTTACAATTTTGGAGCTGCTCCCAAAATACCCCACTTTAGGGTCCGGGGAAAAATTGGGACACCGTCCAAAAAGTGCAGTTTTATTTTTTATGAAGGTATGTGGAGTTTAGTTTTCCTGGTGTCGCCCATTAAAAAGTTAACTAGGGGTATCCACACATTTGCCCAACCCTGACTTAACTACACCAAAGTGACTTAACTACACCAAACAACAATGAGATAACATTTGAAATACTACTCCATTAAAACCTTTTCACTGTATGGTGTAATAAATGAAGTAGGTGGTTTTATCAAAATTCAATTTTATAGTGAAAAATAATTCAGTACCAACTAATCATTGCATAAATGAGTTATGATTGGCTCGAATTTTGAAATATTATTTGTTCATTAATAGGAAACCTTGACAGATGGGCAGAGGTTGAAAACCGCCTTGGAGATATTAGAAAAGGATCAACCAACGTCCAAGCTAGTGTTGGCATTCAAGGCGGAAATAATAAAGGAGGAGTGACGAAAGAGCCACAAGTTGCCAAACCAGAAGACTTATCAAATGCTGGAACCAGTAAAGCTAATCAGGCTGGCAAGAATAGTCCAAACACTCCTAGTGTCAAAACAGTCGAGTCATCAAATGCAAGAAATACTGGAACTAGTAAAGCTAATCAGTCTGACAAGAATAGTCCAAACACTCCTAGTGTCAATCCAGTCGAGTCATCAAATGCAAGAAATGCTGCGGGGGCAACAAATACTGGAACCAGTAAAGCTAAGCAGGTCGACAAGAATAGTGCAAACACTCCTAGTGCAAAAACTCGTGAAGGTAAGTTGTTAGGCCATGAACTACATCTACGAAAAAATCGCTGGTAATGAAACTTATGTATTTCTTCAACACTTTCCTTGAAATTCATTCCAACACAAACAATTTTGCTACCCGTATACTATTAGCGTGGATGAATTTTAGGCTTTATAACGTAGATTATTTTGGAAGATCTCCTACCTGAGAACAAAGGTGGGAGTTTGAAACAGGAAGGCATTTCCCGACGTATATTTTGTCCAATTTTAAATGTTACACAACAGTCATCAATTGTCTGCAGTCTGAGATCTAATTGTCATACTTAGTCTTGTGATGTCAACCAGAGCTTAAACACTAGGAAAACGCTCGGTCCCCTGCTATTTAGTTATTACCACAGACAATAGACCATGGTGGTTCCACCTATCACGAAATATATTATAACTGGCTTACCCGTCATGCGTTGCTGCGATTTCAAGAAAGTTAACCATTCCATATTGAATCTCTGGGAGGTATTTTAAAATTTTATAGCACTCCATTTGTTATTTTTAATAATACGTATTATTTATTATGTAATCAAGTGCTATTTTGTAAACAATGTTTGTTGCTTTGCCGTTTAGTGTGTAAACAAATAGGTTATTTGTTTTTCCAACTCGAGAGCAGGCCACATAAATAAATAATAATAAATAAAAAGGCCTTTACAGTATTTGCAAGCTAGTTTCATATACAAGTTTTTCAAACTTACTCAAGTCAAACTAAAACCAAACTAACCTAATATATACAGAAATATAATATACAAAATAACTACAAACAAAAACAGTTACAATTTACATTTGTTTTCTGCATTGCGGCCCTGAATTAACCATATGATTTGGAGCTCTTTATGTCATGCGGGAGGCCATTATACAACTGCGGGCCAAAATAAGAAAATGACTTTCTTCCAACCTCAAGCCTCACTTTAGGAATGTGAAGCCTGCGGTCGGAACGAGTACCACACAGACAGATTTCCCCCCTGTACTTAAGCCTCACACTGAGGCACTGAGGCTCTCCCAGCGTGAGAACTGTGTGGACCAGGCAGCAGGTCAGCCTCCTGCACATGTCATCCATTGGGCTGAGCTTTGCAGCATCTAGGAAGGAGGACACGTGGTCAAAGTGGTTAAGGCCAAAAATGAACCTTATAGCAGAATTTTTAATTCTTTGAACTCTTGCCATTACCTCCTCAGAGATGCTGTTTCCATATGCAGGAAAGCAATAAGTTATGTAAAGGCTGGGAGGACCAAGGACCGCATGAGTTGCATTTTGGCATATTCCGGCAGTAGAGTTTTAAATCTGCTAACAGCCCTCAGTCTACCCACTGCGCGTTGAACTGCAGATGTGACATGGTCAGAAAAAGAGAGATCTTTGTCAAGTAAAACACCAAGCGTGTTGACAGTGTCGCAAACAGACAATCTCATTCCATCAAGGGTGACTTCTATAGCAGATTTACTCAATTCCTGCATCATAATGTTTGGTCCCGTATGCATGACTACACACTTGTCAACATTCAATCCAAGGCCATTCATGACAGACCATGGAAAAATGCTGTGAAAATCAGCATTGATGAGCCGGATTGCTTCTGATGTCTTGTCTGGCTTGTATGACAAGTGTAGTTGGCAGTCATCAGCATTCAATTGTGCTGTACAATATTCTACACTTCTGGATAAGTCAAATTGAACAGCACAGGTCCTAAACAACTACCTTGAGGAACACAAGCGGATAAGGAAGTGCAGGGCAGAACACAGTCACCTACCACCTCTGGCAGGAGAGCTGGGAACATGAGACACGGGGACGCTTTACCAGGTGACTGATTCAGCAAGTCCAGCCGTGGGTCAACCGACAACACCAAGGAATTGGGTGGAATATTTCCTCACCCAATTCCTAACAGGACACGGATGTTTCCGGTCGTACCTGTTTAGAATGTGCAAAGCTGTGTCACCCGATTGCATCGACTGCCCAGGGACTCCCGACGACACGGAACTTTTCGCTGCCTGCGTTGGGAAAGGCCCCGCCTTGAAGATCAAAAGAATACAAGACTGCAAGGTCATGCCAATGATGGTGCAGAGTGAGGAAAATTGTACCCGTGTGTCAGATTTCGTCCAGGGTATTCTCCGTGCGAAGAAGCTTTACCTTAGCCGACATACGGTTTAGGATATAAAATAAGTGAATACCAGAAACGGCTGGAGCCCTAGCGCTTAAGTCACATGTTAGCTTGACTTTAGGAAATGTGACAATCAATCACAGCTCTGTGTCTAACATAGTAGGGGGTTTTATGCGTGAAAGCATTTTCCCTCCTCTCCCTTAAAAACCCCAAACCCTGAGTCCAGCTGTTTTTTTTTTTTTTTTTTTTTTTTGTGGATCACCAACTAAACGAAACATCACACTTTATACAGCTGTTTATAGTTAACAGTAAATACCCCCGCCGCAGCAAACCTGCCGACTAAGCGAATTTCCATTTGTCTGAATTGATTTTCAGTTAAATATATTTTAATAATAGGTTTAACGAGTACCTAGGTTTGCTGCTACAAGGAAACTAAAAAAGTGTGTTTTTGAGTAAAATATTGATAGCTTAGTACAAAATAAATAAATTTGCCAAGTTTGATCAAAATATATCCATAAATAAGCAAACTACAACATTTGACAATATTCTCCATAAGAATAACATGGGAATTTTAAATTTACAATTTTTTAAATTTTCTCCGTTACTAATAATCGAACAAAAATACTTTTATATACTAAATTATTTGTTTTTTTAAGCTCTTTAAAAAGGTCTAAAGAGAAATCGGGAAATTTTGTGTTTTGAAGGTCAAAAGTGAGAAAAACCAATTTTTACCCCATAAAACCCCCCGTAAAGCCCCGTTCCCATGGTCCGATCGTGCTGGTTCGCGAACTCATTCAAGTTTATCTCGCTTTACACCTTTAACCCAAATTTCATCAAAATCGGACAAAAATTACTCAAGTTATCGCGTTCACGGACGTATATATATATATATATATATAAGTCTATATATATATATATACATATATAAAAATTTGAATGAATGGTGTTTTTGGCCTCTGGGGACATCAAAATGAAAAAGTAAATTGGTCCTGGGTCTAGGTCTTACCGTGCCACCTACGGTAATAGCTACTTCCCTATAGGGAAATTCGCTAAAAGTAACAATGTTTACGTTAGAAATCTTCCACTATCTAGCCTACGACCACGACTTAACAATATTTGGGAAGCTTTTCAAAACATTTTTGTTGTCGTTTTACCAACTGAAGTGGATGTGCCTGTACCTTCGTCGTTGAAACAAATAGCTGAGAAAGTGATTCACGATTATAATAAAGGAATATCTTAAATCCAATAACCATAACTGTACAACTAATCAATATATTAATTGGCATTACTTTACCTACATATTTTTGGTCGAGTTTTCGACCACTGAACGACCTCTAGTTAGTCTTAATTTGCACTTTATTAGACCTAGTTTTAAAAACGTCCTTAATTAAAGGGAAAACTTAATATTCCAAATATTTTTCATTCAGTAGTGTATTGAAAAATATCGTTCAAAACTCATCAAAATATATGGAAATTTATTTTTCTCTTTAATTAAGAACTTTTTAAAAACTAGGTCTAATATTTCAAGTACAAATTAAGACTGAATAGAGATCGTCCAGTGAAAGTGTTTTGACGTTCTCTACCAATTGAATGCTTGCACTTCAAACATATGTTATCAAACGTGTAAATTCTTTCCATTCTTGTTATAAAATATACTACAGCTCCTCGGCTCTGCACTTCAAACATATGTTATCAAACGTGTAAATTCTTTCCATTCTTGTTATAAAATATACTACAGCTCCTCGGCTCTGCACTTCAAACATATGTTATCAAACGTGTAAATTCTTTCCATTCTTGTTATAAAATATACTACAGCTCCTCGGCTCCAGCTGATTCTTTATTTTTTGCACAAACAAAATAGAACCACATTAATTTCTGCAACTATTTTGAAAACAATATTTTCATTGCTGTATGATATTTATTTGTAAACATCTTGAAATAGGTGTTTATGTGTACAACTAGTGAGCAAAGTCTCATTTTATATATTTATATAAACGATAGACGCACAAGGTTTACCGGGTACATTTTAAACTTGATCATTTAATCACAAAATGGACATTATATTCCGTCAAGAGTTTTGTGTACGGCATATGACAACTAAAAATTATTATAGGTTCAACAAACGTGCTTACAACATGTTAAGATGTATTATGTCTGAACTGCATTATTAAGACTATGGAATAAGCAGTGACATAATTGTAATCTTCAGAATTCAAAATACGAACAATTCTCGCCTTTCACATTCTTTTAATCGTCTTCAAAAATAATTTTCTTTTTGTTCAAACTATAATATTGTTTTTACATTTATGTGCAACATTTTAAATGCAAATAATATCGATTTAATCAGGGGGACCTGTTGATTATCAATATATTAAAATAAACTAATCATAGTGATAATCTTTTCTACAATGCATCTTTGTATGAAAACTGTAGACAACAATATTCATTTCCTCTAATGGCCGATTGTGATGTTGCAGCATTTGTTTTTGGCGACGACAAGTGCATCATTTGTCCGTGGGCTGAATGCAATCTTGGTGATTGGATTAGTGGTTGTGAACGCAGCATTGAAGAGGACCTCGACACCCTGACATCCAAAATTGCCGAACTGAAGGGCGAACGGACGAAGCTTGTCCCAATACTGGCTTTTCACACGGAGAACGAAAGAAAAAAACTCACTAAAGACTACGAAAATAAAGAGAAAATCAAACTGTGGGAGAAGGTAGAAGAAATGTTCGTTGGGCCAGGTGAAAGGTTCAAGAAAACTATGGTGGACCTGGCAAAACCCTTAGACGAGGTTTACGCAGATCAGTTGCATTATATACTGACTAAATTGCTCGAACCAAGGTTGACAAATCATCCCAAAATGAGCTTTGGAAAAACTTTCCCACAAAAGGTGGCGGCGCGGAAAGATTTGATACAAATAATCATAACTCTTACACCTTGTCTTATGCAAAAAGTCAGAAATCTTTATAAGGAAAAGTATCGCGTAGAACTTGAAGATCACATAGACAGAACGTTGTCAACACATCAAACTAAAGAAAAAAGAGCAATGGGCAGAGATTATATCGATTACATTAAGAAGCTTGTCACACGGACGTCATATGTGGATGGGTATGACCAAAAAAAAGAAACACGCCTTCTGTTAGACGAGATTTTCTTTAAACTTTCTCTTCCCGGAATAAAGATACTTGTTGAAAAACTAGGAGTTGATAGAATTAGGAGCACCTTTAATATATACAGCATGTATGACACTGAATTGCATGCAACTATCCTGGACATAGCAGTTAAACAACAGAAGTTTTTTGCGGAAGAACTACGTACATTATTAAAAGAAAAAAAAGTTGACGACGTAAAATTCATCAATTTGATAAGAGGCCACTTTGGAATTGATCTAAAGGATATCATAAATAAGTACAACGAAGAGAGCTTAAAAAAAAAACCATTGGAAGATCCATTGGATGTGGCGTTTGGAAATACCCAGACAACTAAAAAGCATTACTACAACGCGATGATTGCGCTGTTCACTGGTAATACGAAAACCCTGGGAGTCTAACACGCACAATGATTGATAAAGTGATTCTTACTGTTATTTGAGTCTTAAAAAGGATAAAACCTTCTACTGTATGCCAATAACAATTCTGAAGAAACTCCACCGGCATTCTATACTAACGAAGACGTTACAAAATTATTCTATCAATAGTGTGTGTGTGTGTGTGTGTGTAATTTTAAATATTTTCATCAACGTTTAAACTCAGAATTTTTTTTCTTTTGATGGATTTATTTAATTTCTCGTACTTGCTATATTAATCATCATTTGTATTTGTAACTAATGGTAAGAACACGAAATGAGGCAATTAAAGGTAAACAATTTTAAATTGTTAAATGTTATGTCCCCAATTGACTTTGAAATGTACAAGTAGAATGTATATTGTATTGTGATTTATGAGCTTTTTAGATGTACTTCGAGTTGATTACGTTTTAAAGCGTTAATACTGACAAGTTTTTATTTTATTTTACTATATTTGATGCATACAAGTATTTCTTGCAATTTTGCTAACTTTAAGATAATCTGTATAGCCTATTGATGGTATAACCAAAGAGAAAATCGTCCGCTTTAAAATACATCGTTGTGTTGAAAAGCAATTCATGTACTGTAGATGTTTTTACTGGAGTTATCTTGCAAACGGACACATACTCTGTGTATTATATGAGTAAAATATGTATATTTGTTACGTTGATTTCGGAATCAGCAGCAATAAACACGATTAACCTTTCAAAAACTAATTTCCAATTAAAAAATAAGCTCTATACCCTTGATATAAACTGGTAAAAATCTATTTTTGCTATTATTTGCATATACAATTTTAAGTGTCTAATGTAGGCATTATATGTTGCCATATCACATGTACTGTTTTGCACGGATATAAACTGACGTAACTCATGTGTATACTGACCAAAAGAAAAGGGTAATCGGATTTATACCTTCAGCATTATATACTTAAAAATAGATAACCAATTGTGGCTATATTGCGAGGAGGGATTTATGAGAAGTAAACACAACAAAATACATAATTTATTTTCGGTGTCCACCAAAAACACTACAAAATAAGTGTACATAAGGAAATCACAACGCCCATGATTAGGTCAGTAAATAAAAGGTATCAGCAATCTTACACATACTTTCTCCCATTACCTTATCAACAACCTTTATTATGTTATTTTATGGGAAAATAACACAAGTTACAATATCTTTTGGACCGTAATTTGTACGGGAAGGGGATTTGTACAAATTTGTTCAGAATTTAAAGGACTATAACATACAAAACTTTTATCAAAATCGTGTGAACCATTTTTGAGAAAATCTGATTGTTCCGTTATTTATGGGTTAAAAATCAAAATTTCAAAACATTGAACGAAATGCCTGGCTATGCCATGGATTAGTGCCTACTGACTACATACAAAGTTTCATCAAAATCGGACCACAGGTGTGGTCTCTAGCTCTGTAAACATCCACACGCACCCACACACACACACACGCACACACACATACACATACATCACTTCGAACACCACTTTTTGTAAACGAGGTTGTACACGATTATGCTGAAAAAGTGTATTGTGTTTTTGCCATGAATTAGAAATGCAATGTGACCCTTCTTACATGTTATTTTTTTTATTTCAAGTGCTCAGTATTCAAGTGTAGATGAAACTTATTTTTAGGCCCAAGGGAAACCTTAAAGGGGTCAAAAATATACATCTCACTTTAGACTTATAGTGAGAATAACCCTTGAGGAGATTTGTTAGTCTATCTCAATTTACATGTTCGGGAAACAAATATACTGTAGCCTGTACAAAATAAACTATGGTCACAAAGTAAAAACAAGAATACCTCCAACTCTAACAAATCTTGTGAAAGTAAAAGATATCATAGGAAAAATTAGAATAAAAAATACGGAATCTTTAGTTTTAATCGGACCGAGCACCATTGAAAGCTGACCACTACACCAAGACGCTGAAAGTAAGTATCCAGTTGATTAAGACTGATGCTACTGATGCTTCCTTGAGTGTAAACTTACTGAATAAACTGATTAAAACAGTTGATCTCGTCTGACTTAAATTACGTACAAAGCGTCTACCAAAAGTTTTGTGAACAGAAGTTTTTTGAACTTTTGTAGATAAAGCAGTGAAGCTTTGTGAATCCATATATAAAGCCCAAAGTACCCATGAACTTTTGAGAAATCTACAAGTCACATCCCCATAAACCATACACTTAAAAGGTTCGTCATGACGAGAAACCTTGCGCAAAATTCAATTATTTCATAAATTGCCCTATAAGGTCGTAATTGCTTTCCAAAGGGACATTTCCGTATACCTAATGTTAAGAATAGCACAGCTGTACTTATTTGTATGTTGTTCTTTCAATTTATTACCTTATTAATATCGTGTGATTATTTGTTTGTAATACTGTATTCAGTTTTGATTATAGAGTATGTTTTACTTTATCAATAGTTTTACTTATGAAGTCAAACGGGGTGAAGCCCGTGGGTAACAGCTAGTGCTAGTAAATATCATACCTAAAATGTATTTTTCCTACAGTCACCTGACAAAGTGGCCTTCCTTGCACTGATTATAGCACAGAAAGTTGCTAATTGTCTTAAAATCTACATACTCTTCCCGCACACTTTTTATTTTTGCCGCACAGTGTTTTGTTGTTTTTTCCGCACACCAGTATTCCAACCAAACAACACAAAACAGCATGCTTTTATTAGGCACGTAATACGTGTACGCTTGAAAATAAGTTGGCAACACATCTCAAATAAGAGCATAGCTTGAGCAATACTCCAAATTAACAGTCTCTATAGGGATAACACAGTGCCGCAAACCCCTGTCTTAAAAGGTCCATCCTATCAAAAGCGACGGTGAGTTTAAATAGCTACTTCCCTATAGGGAAATTCGCTAAAACCCGCAGTAAACCTGCCGTCTAAGCGAATTTCCATTTGCCTGAATTGATTTTCAATTAATCTATTTATAACATTAGGTTTAACGAGTACCTAGGTTTGCTGCTACAAGGAAACTAAAAAAAGTGTGTTTTTAAGTAAAATAATTATAGCTTAGTATAAAATCAATAAATTTGCCAAGTTTGATCAAAATATATCCATAAACTTGCAAACTAAAACATTTTACAATATTCTCCATAAGAATAACATGGGAATTTTAAATTTCGAATTTTTTTTAGCTTTCTCCGTAACCAATAACCGTACAAAAACCCTTTGATATACTTAATTATTTGTTTTTAAGCTCATTAAGGAGGTCTATAGAGAAATTGGGATTTTTTTGTTTTGAGTGTCAAAAATGAGAAAACCCAATTTTTACCCCATAAAACCCCCCGTTAAACCCCGTTCCCATGGTCCGATCATGCTCGTTCGCAAACTCATTCAAGTTTATCGTGCTTTACACCTTCAAACCAAATTTCATCAAAATCGGACAAAAATTACTCAAGTTATCGTCCGGACGGACACATATACACAAATACACATATACACAAGATATATACATATACTTATATAAAATTTTGAACTAATGGTGTTTTTGGCCTCTGGGGACATCAAAATGAAAAAGTAAATCGGTCCTGGGCCTAGGTCTTACCATGAGACCTACGGTAATAACTACTTCCCTATAGGGAAATTCGCTAAAAACGAGTTTGAGACTGTTTAGTAGAACTAAGTTGTATTTTACTAAATACTCTAATGCTTTTACTTAATAGAGTAGACATTCCATCCCCATGTTAAAGTTGTCGCCAGTTTTTGTTCCATCAAAATCGTCTTAGTTGATGAGAGTCACCGACAGATTGTGCTGGTAAGTTACTGATTTCTGTCGAATGCATTAACTTTTTACCAAGTCAATGTGATGCTACGACCTATTGTGAGCTATAGCAATTAATTGTTATGACCCATCAACTACATTATCAATCAATAATGAGGTAGAAAATATAATTTTAGACACTAACGCATTCTGTGACTGGCTCACACAACTATGTTCCTTTTTAATTAAAACAATTGGTGACAACTGGTCCATAGATGTCTACTACAGCCTCCAATAGTCAAAGTACGAATCTTCAAGGGCTTTTTTCTACACGCGCATCTTCTTGTATTGTAGAACATTGTATGCGAAACAAACAAATTAAATGGACCTGAGCCGCATTTATGTGCATGTTCCTGATATTCCCGTGGGATTTTTGCTCTCACTCTGCCATTATGAAATTACTTTCCCCAAACGCAGTAGCATTACCAATTCGCAGCATTCTTAAAATAATTGTTTTGGAAATGCGTTATATACAACTGAGCATTCGGAATACAAATGGTTTCTATACCTATGTAAGATTTAGTAGCTTTTAAAACTCAACCGTACTTACAAGATATGGTATAAATTCGAGATTAGAGGAACAAACGGCATCAGCAAACTGACACATACTACAGTATCTCCCATTAGCTTGACAACTTGACATTAAAATGTGATTTTTACATACTAGCTGATACCCACGGGCTTCACCCCGTTTGACTTCATAAGTTTAGTAATAGCTATTTACCTTACAAGTGTAGTAAGAGCGTTTTTACATCACACAGGTGAATCTTGTGCAACGAGCGGAAGCGAGTTGCATAATTTACCTAAGTGATGTAAACACGCTCTTGCGTAACGTCTAACGTACAAGATTTTACCTGACCCGACAATATACAGGAGTTTACGAACAATATTTTTCATTATCCATTTCACTCATCTTCTAACAGTAACGTTCATTTGCAAACAAAAGCTAGGTTAGCAAAATTCTTCAAAACACAACAATAAAATTCAAGCGCACAGCTGATTTCTAGCGTTGAACGTTTAGGCCTATTGGTTAAGTTGAGCTGAAATAAACAAAACGGAATACAGTAATACAAACAATAATAATCACACCTGATTTTAATAAGGTAATTGAAAGAATAACATACAAATAAGTCCATGAAGTATTTTTAACATTGTATGGAAAGTTCCCTTTGGAAAGCAATTACGACCTTATAGGGCAATTTATGAGATAATGTATAGTATTGCGCAAGGTTTCTCGTCATGACGATCATTTTAAGTATGGTTTATGTGACTTGTATTTTTCTCAAAAGTTCATGGGTACTTTGGGCTTTATATATGGATTTATTCGGAAAATCGCTTAAGTTGAACCGTCATTACTATAGCATTCGGGGTTGTGCCATTTCCTTCAAAAGTACTATATAGGTTACTAATTTTAAATCTAAATAGGGGCGTTTTTTAAACGAATATGATTTTTCCATTATTTTATGAATTTCATGGAAAATCGTCTACAAAAATTAGAATTGATAAATGAAAA